TTGCATATATGTTCAAATAGTTCAGGGCACATGACAAACCATGTGTCCCAATACAACTTACAAATAACGTATTCACCATCTGTACACACCAATGCATTTTCAACACTACTGACTCAACACCCTTCCAGACTTGTAGTAGATTTACTAAAGCTCTGGAGCTTCAAAGGGCTCCCATACAGGGATCATAAACACACCTTCAAGGAATATAGCATGCCCTCACTTACAGTAAGCACAACAAAACCATTGGCTGTAAACACACTCATAGCCAAGATTTGCAGAGGGGTCTTCCAATCTCCACCATTTATAGCATGGCACCAAACACACACATTGGTATTGTCACAAGGAATCTTCCCTTAAACAAAGACTAACCATAGACTTATTGGCACCACACACCTCCGCTACCCCAAGTCTCAACTCCCTCATACCCTCCGAGGATTTTTCTTACTATACAACACCATTGATCTACCTTTACAGCTATCACTCAAGCATGGGTTGAAGCTTGGTTAAGTAAGACCAATATCATCAACGCAGTAAACGGCTACCATCTACCCTACACACTGGCACTTACATGGCATAAATTGGGCAATCCTTTCCCCGCTCAACTTTCGAGCTACAGATTAGCCTACTATCGATATTCGCAGATACTCTGTGCTGGTTATGATAACATATCCAGAGGCAAGATGTTAAACCTGCACGTATGATCCCAGCACATTGGGGAAGCAAGGCATATATATGTATGATGATGGATCTGTATAACAAGAAGTCATACACTATCTAGAAGACTTATTGTTAATCAAAGAAAGCATATTTTTCACTAGAAGCCTCACGGCAGCTTAGTCTGGTTGACCACTTGGGCGTCCCAGTACCCCATAAGAAACAGAAGGCCCAGACACTATCTTCACATTACTGGGCATATGACTTGAGTCGGCATCCATACACGCAAATTACCACAAGACAAATAGGGAGCATTCTCAACTACATCAATCACTACATCCTGCTTAGTACTTACAACTGCAAGGAACTACGATCCCTACCAGGTTCCTTAATTTTGCCATGCCAATCATACCACAAGACCACGCTTTCACATCCAGAGTACTTTCCCCTTTTTTCCACACTTCCAACATGACGATCAGAGGATGTCCCTAGACACCTCAGCAACAGCAGACCTGCACATGGGGGGAATTTTTTAACCACTTGGCATGGTAAAAGCATGTTCCTTCCAGGATTGTCTGACACTTCTCCAACCAGATGGTCAGACGCAGCGTCTACCACGGGTTTGGCAGCGATCTACCGGGAACAATTGCTTTGGAGCTGTTGGCAATGGCATCCAGGTTTGGAAATTTTTCCACCACCTCAGCCCCTTTGGGAGATCTACCCCATTGTAGCAGCTGCTGAGGCATGGGGTAAATCATGGTCAGGGTCATCAATCCATTGTTACTCAGGCAACTAAGCATATGTCATATCATCAACAAACACCACTACTCATCCATAAGGTCATGATATTTCTGGGGAACTCACTTGGTTGGCCACTTATCACATTTCACTTTCATGTACCAGACGGGGGTATACATCTCTGCCGACAACTGTCTCATTTATATTCCAGGCATGTTCATCATACGCTTCCTACAGCCGCCAATACAGTCACGGCCACGCTTTCGTTCCAGAGACAAAATCATGGTTTAGACATACTCATGCAGCATAGCATGCACTATCCCACCTAGCACTTTCGTCTCATACTTGTAGAACACATAACACAGCTTTTCACCTGGCTTAAAGAATCTCATTGGCACACGACATAGCTCAACCTGTGTCATAACATTTCTCCTAGGTTTTGCTTCTTTTTGCCACCTTAAACTATCTCACACACCATTAATTATATATTTTACAGGCATTCAACAACACAGGATAACCTATGGCCAAAACCACCATAACTTCATGCTATCATACCAGAAAAGAATATACTCAGAGGTTTTCAGGAATCCATTCCCCCACGTTCCTCTCAGAGATTACCAATAGCCATCCAACTTTTCATCATTATCGGACCTATTAGATCTACAACCATTCAATTATACTACCAAGTCGGCCATTACCAGCTATGCACATTGCCTTTTATGCCTTTCTCAGGCCAGAGAATCCACTACCATCACCACCACTCAGACAGATCATTGTCTTCAATGATCCCACGTACGTAAACACATATATCATTACCTATTGGCTCTACCACATTCCGAAACGAGTCAACACGCACCAACAGTAGAGATAACATACTATCCTACCCACAACAAATGGTGTCCCCTTTCGGTCCTAGATTCCTACCTTCAAAATCCTTTCAGGAATTAAATACTGTAATGCTTTTAAGGAAATGTCTGGTTAATTTGTATATATATATCTGTATTAAATCTTTGATTATTCATTTTTGCCCTCTTTATTTACAGGCCTACCGTATCGTCGGTCTCGGCACACCACAACCGACTTGCTCCCTTTATACTATCCTACGCTTATGCTGGATCCTTACTCCATATACGGCTATTTGCCCCTTACACAAGTATTAAGGCCGTTTGGCCTGTATTTGTGGGAGGGGCTTAAATTAATTCACTCCCCTATATAAGGGACACCCCTTACCTGACTCATATCGCTTGAGGTCAGCATCAGAATGACCCTCCCACCCACTCCTCATTTCAACACTTTCTCTTTTCTTTCCATTTACTTTACTTACTCCTTGGTGGGCCCTCTTTATTTACAGGCCTACCGTATCGTCGGTCTCGGCACACCACAACCGACTTGCTCCCTTTATACTATCCTACGCTTATGCTGGATCCTTACTCCATATACGGCTATTTGCCCCTTACACAAATATATATGTATATTCTTGAAACCATAACAAATTGCAGGGTTTTTTTTTACCTTTTAAAGGGGGGGATTGCCAATCACAGGATTCACCCCGGGTGCTAAATACTCTAGGTACGCCCCTGCCAGGAATGTTTATATTTGTGTGGACAATGATCAACCTTACTACTCACACAGTTTGCCATCTTTCCAGCCATATCCTGTTCCAACCCAATTGTGTATAAGGAGCTTTCTTACCCCTTAAAAAGGGACATTTTTACTGTGACTCCTTCGGAACAGCATGGGTGGGACTGATTTTTTTATTTTTATTTATTTTTTGGTAGTGGGGTGGGACTGATTTTAGTGGGGCGGGGGTAGGCGGTTGAATGGACAGCTAACCCCAAGTTAAGATCATATGTTTTACTATTTAAATGGACACTATAGGCACCAAAACAAGTTTAGCTTAATGAAGCAGTGTGGGTATATAGAACATGCCCCATGCAGTCTCACTGTTCAATTCTCTCCCATTTGGAAATTAAATCACTTTGTTTATGCAGTCCTAGTCACATCTCCCTGCATGCAATGTGCATAGTCTTACTAAACACTTCCTGTAAAGGGCCATCTAATGTTTATCCCTCATTTATTGCACAGAATGTTTCATTTAGAATTTCTCATCACCCGCTCTATTAATAGCTTGCTAGACCTTGCAGGAACCTACTGTGTGTGATTAAAGTTCAATTTACAGAATAGGAGATAGAAAGTTCTAAAGCAAGATACCATCTTATTGAAAATGAAACATTTCTGTCATGCAGGCTGTGTGAGTAGGTGTAGCTACGGCTACATAAACAGAAACAAAAGTGATGTTACTCCTAAATGGCAGAGAAATCAGCAGTAAGACTGCAGGGGCATGATCTATAAACAGCTTGATTGAGCTAAAGTTGTGTTGGTGCCTATAGCGTCCCTCTTGGGATGATGAAAATGATGCAACATTTTAAAGTTGCTGGTTATCTTTTACATTGTTATTACATGAGGAAAAAAAACAGACATTGTGAAGGATTTCCCATACCCATTTGGCTATTTCCACTCCCTGCTATTCAAGTCCCTTGGATTATTTGTTTTATTTTCGTTGTTCATGAAATCATTAGTTTTACCGAACGGAGACCACCCTGGGTACCGATTAGAACGTGGAACACTGCGTAACTATACAAATACCGCAAGTTAATTGAATGCTCCTAGGTTAACTCCCGAACGCGGCCAGCGGGACTTGGTCGTCGAGTGCCTGGAACTGATTTGGGCATGGCACTCGCACAAACACCCGGTCTCAATGGAAGTCCCATACGTACTATTTTCCCATACGGTAGACGAACGGCGTTCGGGAGTTTCAAACAGACGAACAAGAGGAGCATTCTCCACAAATCAGCTTTACTCCATGTACGTCGGTTTTCGTATAAATCCAACCGAATGGAGACCGGCTCTTGCTGCCAATTCTATGGAACTCTTGGTCGGATACAACATTCTGGCGAGCCGGTCAAACTTCCACACGGTGCCGTTCGAAAAGTACCAAATGGATTTTCATGAATTTTTAATATGTTACGCCCATCAAGCTCAGCTACCCAGGGATTTTGTGGGGGTTTTATGCATGCAAAGTATATTTCTGAAAATTTTTAAATCGTTAACTTTTTCTGGCCAGCAGATAGTTGAGTTTATTATGTTTCCAAAACTCAATTATCTCGCTGGCTCAGAGGAGGACTTTGATGCTGTATAAATTGAATGCCCTTGCTTCCATTAAACCAGTCTTGTTCCAGCATTAAGCTTTGGCTCATGTGTGGATTGTTATGCGATACCAGCAATATTTTACCCTGTGGATTATTGGCGACATAGTTTTATGGGAATAAGGGAATGACAGACGGTAATACCGATTTAGGCCCTGGGGAGATAGCGCAGCTAAGCGGACAAGGGCACATGTAGGAGTGTGGGGATAGATGCATGGGATTGGATGGGAAAGAGTGTGTGGGTGAGATTATGTTCTGTGTAAGTTAGTGTGGGGGAGGTCTTACCTCAGTGCCACTTGGGATTCGGGCCAGCAAACAGCTTCCTGTCCTCCTGCTCCTGTTTGCCTGGGCCTGCAGATTGACACAGCCTGAGGGATGGAGGTTGAGGCGATCCTGGCTTCCCTCAGGGCTGCTGCTGCGCTGGATGGTGGCCGGCACCTGTAGAGGCAATTTACAAGCATTACTGGAGGTATGGCTGCCGGTGTGGGCACCCCCCGTGGCCTGCCTCACCCTGGGGCACCCACTGCGGTCTCCCCTGCTGCCTCCCATGCGGTCCCTGCCCCTGGGGGCCGCATCAGCACTGGCAGGCATTCCCGCCCGCCTGCCAGGCTGTCCCAGGTTCATACTCCCCGGGCCCGGTAAGGAGCAGGAGCCTGGGCCCGGGGCACCGCGGGGGCCACGTGTCTGGGGCTGCAGGCACGCGGCCTACTACTGGGGGGGCTGGGATCTGAGGCCTACTGAGGCCGCACAGGTGGCACGGCCTTCAGACACGAGGCCTGCCACTGCCGCGCGGCCTGCTACCCCTATGGCCGCCCAAAAACAGAGAAAAGGCTGCGCCACAGAAAATAAAACAAAAAAAGTTCGGTACTAAATAAAGTTCTGTAAAGGAGTCCCAGTAATAGGTGGTATCTCAACTGATGTGGTGTCTTCTTTGTTAACAGTTGTCCATCTCACGATATGAAAAACACAATGGGAAAGGACTAATCGTGCAGAGTGTATATATAAATAGTAGTGAGATTAAAATATAAATTGCACACTCACATGTCCATGAGCTAGGACCAGCTCTAGTATGATAGGCACACAGCGGATTGCCCTCCGCTTTTAGGGGTACTTGTCCTCCTGGGGGGTGCTGGTGTCCAATTCTCATAAAAATAAATAAAAACAGCCAATAGTGCTCTCCGGTGAGGTAGTTAGCGTAAAAGAATAAAATAAATAAAATATACTCACAAATAGAGTGCAGGTCTTTCTGCACTCTGTTAATCGCGTGGGTGGTATAATCCCCACCTTAGGATATGCCAGGAACAGTAAATAGAAATAAAATAGTATAAAAAGGTAATATATGTAAAATTATTTATTAGTACAATATATTAAAACCAATAACGCGTTTCGCCAGCAGGCTTTATCAAATTGGAATAGTGTTAGTCCCTGGCACATAGGGAGTATATATAGCTTGTACATACAATCAAAAATTGGCGCCAAAAAAGCAATCACCAATCAGAACAGAACAAAATATAAATAAAAAGTGCATAAACAAAATTAAACAATGATGTACAGTATTAAAGTATTAAGGCATAAGAAGGTGTTGGTGTGAATATAATTTAAAAACGAGGGTTTATACTGTAGAATTTGAACAAATTAAAATCAATTCAATTGCAATATCCGTGCGGGTCACGTGACCCGCAATGCACTATGGTATCTGTAGTGCGCTGGGTCACGTGACCGCATGTGGTTACCGATATGCAAACAGTCCGTGCGGCCAGTATGGAAGAGAATGGCACGCACGGACGGCAGGGCGGGACCAGACTGTGTCACGTGACCCGCGGCGTAACACAACGTAGATACCCGCGGGTCACGTGACCGGAGCCACAGGGATTATGGGACATGTAGTAAAGGGCAAAAAGGATAATAGTAAAGGGCAAAGAAGATGTTGTACTAATAAAAATACAGTAGTAATGATAAAGTATAGGATATACAGTTAAAAGATCAAACCTTAAAAAGGATAAAAAATAATAATAATAAATAAAAATATAATGAGTAATACAATCATATGGGATCTACTTTTAGAAGATCCACCCTTAAGAAGGATAAAAGTAATAAGGAATGAATAATCATATGATAAATATATACAATTACAATTTAAATAGACATGACTTGGATAAATGAATAAAATCAAAACAAGCAGTACAAAATAAAAAATAAAAAAAATAAAAAAATTATTCTAAAAAATTAAATAAATCAAAATCTACATTAAGACCTTGAGGTGTTAGGGTTTGTAAATTAAATACCCATTCCATCTCTGACCTGCCAAGAATATTTTTTATATTACCACCTCTCCAAGGTATTTTGCATTTCTGAATACCTAAACATTTGAGAAGTTTGGGGTCTTGATTGTGGTTAATAAAGTGCTTAGATACAGAGTGGTTTAAATACCCATTTCTAATATTCCTACAGTGTTCTGCTAGTCTTATCTTTAAACACCTGGTGGTCATACCTACATATTGGAGGCCACAGGGGCACTCCAATAGGTAGATAACGTTAGTGGTGTTACATCCGATAAAGTCTCTTATGGTATAACTTTTATCAGTTTGGTTGGATTTAAAACTAGTAATAGTAGATTTAGTTGTTGGATCAGTATTTTTGCATACAGTGCAACGTTTACATTTGTAAAAGCCTTTTGCCCCATCTAAAAAAGTGTGTTGAGTATTTTTAATTTCTTTAGTATAGTTGTTAGTTAAAATGGATCTAAAATTAGGTGCCCCTCTGAAAACAATTTTCGGCTGTATAGGTAAGATTTCTTTAAGCAGATCATCATGTCTTAGGAGATGCCAGTGTTTTTTGATTGTTTTTTTTAATAAAACCACTTTTATTATTATAATTAAAAATTATAGGAAGAGTGGGGGTTTCTAAAATATTTTTGTTCTTGTATGTTAAAAGACTTTCTCTAGGTTTGTTTCTAACTGTATTTATGGTACTATCAAGAAGAGTGTCGGAATAATTCTTTTCAATAAATTGTTTCTTCTATGGCCGCCCAGCCTGCTACTTACTGGGTCGCCCTCTACCTCCAGGCCGGGGATGCAGCCTGCAACTGCCGCGCGGCCTCCTGGTGCGGCTGCCGCGCGGCCTACTCCTCTCCCCCACTCCACACCATCCGCCCCGGCCACCAGTGCTGGATTGCGGGCCGGGGGCGGTGGGCGGCGGATCCCGCGATCCGGGCGGCAGGTGGCTGCCCAGCAACTGTGCAGCTCCCCAGCGGCCGGCGGGGAGGTGAGTGGGCCCACGCGGGCCGCTGGGGGGGTCCCCTTGCCCGTCGGGAGCCTCCTCTGCCAGTGAGGAAGGATCCCAGGGCTCTGTCTCCCCTCCTCCCTATTTGGCTGGCTTTATTTCTTCCAGGGGGCCCAGCTTTCCTTACCTGGGCCCCCTGGTCCCCCCCCCCTTTCTGGTTTTCGCTTCTCCCCCCCCCCTCCCTCTCTCTCTGGTGGGCCTGCACCCCCTCTCCTGCTCTTATCCCCTCCATATAGAAAAAAAAACATCCCTCCCTATCTGCATCCCTCTGTTCTCCCCCTCCTCCTCTCTACCTTGCCTGACCCCCCCTCTACCTTGCCTCTTCCCCCCCCCAGATTCACTTACCTCGGCCATCTCCTCTGGGGCGTGGGCTCATCTTCTCGGCTGCTTCCTTCTCAGCATGCTGCTGCAGTTCGTGGATCCGTCCAGCAGGTGGCGCCTGGATCACAGCTGATGTCCTCTGTGGATGCTGGAACTGCTGTTTCTTTGCCTCAGCCTTCTGTGAGCGCAGTGCCGGGCTTGGATCGCCAGGCTGCGTCCGGTGAGTACATTTCCCTTCTTTTAGCGCTTCGCGTGCGTACGTTCTTTCTTCCTTTCTTCCTAAAACAAAAAAACAACAAAAAAAATAAATAAAAAAAATAAAAATAAAAATTGATGCAGACAGGGAAAAAAATTACAGGACAGAAATACAAGGTAAATTACCTATTGGACTAAAAAAATAAAAAATAAAAAAAAATCCAACGTCAAGTGCAAGGGGTAGAATTCAATTTAAAAAAAAAAAAAGAAAAGAAAAGAATCCAACGTCAAGTACAAGGGGGACAATTCAATATATAAAAAGAATAAAATAAAAAAATTGTGTGTGTGTGTGTATATATATATATATATATATATATATATATATATATATATATATATATATATATATATATATATATATATATATATGTGGGGAATCCACGATAAAACAAAATTTGGGTACCCCCTTTCCTTTTTCAGTATGTATTATACATTTAGGTATGCTTTCCCGCAGCGTCTGGCGCAGCTGATAGCGCCGGCGATGCCTCCCAGGTTCACGTGACTCTGGGCTGCTGAGCTCATGTGGTTTGCTTGGCTTGCGTGTAACGCTAGGGAGCGGATGGAGAATGGGGTTTTGTATCGAAGGCTGTTCCCTCCTGCCACGGGGGTCCCTTGACTAAGGGGGACATTAGGGGCTCAGGGATGGTCGTGGGAAGCATGCTGTGGTCAGATGCACCCCAGGGCACATATCGGACAGGGCTCCCCGAGTCGGCGCTGCGTGGTTCAGCGGTCAGGACACTCTCGGGACACGTTTCATCCCTGTGATAAGCTGGGTTGGTGGAGGTACGTTTTGCACTTTCATCAACGGTTGGCAGTGCGACCCTTCTTGGCCTGGGGCCGGATGGGTTTTGCCGCTGGTTTTCTTTGGGCCTCACCTGGCCCCTCAGCACAGCGTGTTTTTCCGTCCTCTCTGCAATCGGTCGGGATGGGGACCCTCAGTTCATGTGGGAGCTCCATCGGGCGATATGGGTCCAGTTTACCAAGAACGCTTATAAGTTTACTTCCCAGTTGTTTAGGGTACCCCTGGAGTTCACTGTGGTGCCCAAGGAGGAGGAGCAGGGTCAGTATCTCCAGATTACTTATTTGCTCAGTTGTCGTTTCCTTCCAGGGGCTAGGTTTGGGATGATGGCTCGGCGCAGCGGGCTGCGTGGCTGCGGGGCCTTGCTGACTAAGGCGGCTGTGGAATCAGTTTTACGGCTGCTGCCGGTACGCCCGTCGGGTTTATTGTTTCCAGGTTGTGTTCCCGACGGTCAGGATTGGGTGGTTCTGTGCCTTCATGTAGGTTGCTCCCGATGTCATTTATGCGTGGGGCCGTCGGTGCAGCATGTCCGCACTCTGCTGCTACAGTGTTTTTCCTGGGGTAGTTTTATGAGTTTCGGAGTTCCGTGGCCCAGGCCATATCCGTAGGTTTTGGGGGGTTTTGGGCCAATTTGGGCTCTCAATGGTGTGCTGACTCTTGCCCATTACAATGGCAAGGATCGGTTTTCTGGCGGACTTTGGGGTTCTTGGAGCTTCCCCTTTCTGGTGGCATGGTAGGCATGGGGTGCCCGGCTCTAGAACAGGTAGGGGGGGGTTTTCCTTTGGGACCATCGTGGGGCGGTGCGGGCTGTCTTGTCATGTAACAGTACACTTTACCCCAGTGTTACTCTGGTGGCAGCGCCTGGCTTGGCGCTGTTTGAATCTAGGGCGGCTGGTCTTAGGTTTTTTGTGTCCGGGTATTCCCGATGTGGTGGCCGACGCTCTGTCTTGGTCATTATTGGGCATACTTCGGTCAGAGGTGTCACGGGGTCGATGTTAGGGCAGTGGAGGTGGTCGCCTGGTCCAACGGTCTGATGAAGCTGGTCCGTGGGTCGCCCTATGAGGCGGCGTGGGGCCCACTCCAGTATGGCGGGAGTGATCGGGACGGATGGGGACGTTTCCTTGTAGGTTCCGGGAGTGGACTGCTCATCTACATGTTTGGTTCTGTCTGTTGAGGGCGCTAGGGGTGATTTCTGTGATTGGCAGGGCTCGGCTTCCTGTTCATGTTACAGTTGTTGGCAAGTGGTGGGGTGTTTTGGTGGACGGACTTATTTCAGGTTTCGCCGCTCGACTGCTGTTGTCGTTGGGACGGGTAAGTCAGTTGCGGTGTGGCTGATGCGTCGATGGAATCTGTGCGATTCTTGGATGTTTAGGGGTCGACGTGCCCTGGCTTTTCCGCTTTCTCCTAAGGTAGATGGAATGCACGGGGTAATGGTTGGGCTCCTAACACGGTGTAACGGGTTCCCAGGATGGCCTGACAAATTCCGTTCTGATCGGAGGCAGTGCAGGTTTCCATCAATTGCCTGAAAGTTGGTGGGGAGTTCGAGGGGCATTTATTCTGGTTTGGGATGGCTACGGTCGCCGCCAGGCTTGGCGTGCCTGCGCCAATGGTTCAGGGGCTCGAATTTTGGAGTCAGGGTGGTGGTTCCTTCAGGTTCACCCTGCTGGTCTCCGAATGGATTTCTCACCGCGGTTACGGTCCCCCACCCCCCTGGAAAGGGAGGTTCAGTGGTCTGGCATCAGTTACATGGTGGGGGTGTGGTCCTCCTCGTACGGGGTCGGCTGTCCCGCCTCTTGGACGTGCCAGGGGGTTTTTGTCATCTCTGGGTGGATTGATATGGGTTCGGTGTTGTATGGGGTGCTCTTCAATCTGAGGGTGCTCTTGAATCTGGACATGTTACACATTCTGTTTCTTACCAGAGGTTCTCAGGGGCCGGACTGATGCTGTCACCTGTTCCTGTTGGCAGTGCGCTCAGCAATGTGAGTGCCCTGGTGCGCTGCAGTCGGGAATCGGACGAGGTGGGTTTCTTGTTTTGGCTTGGGGGATTCCAGTTTACCTTGGGGTGTGGCCGGATGTGGCCTAGTTATCTCGAGGGGATGGGTGCGCTTGCTGGAGGTCGGATGAGGCCTATGTTGATGGTGCACTGAGGACGACTCCGGCTGGAGATGAAACGCAATTGCTGCTAGATCAAAGGATTGTATCTGGTATTTTTTCTTGTTTCCTCTGCAGTGTTTTATTTAGGCTTTGTGCCTAGTATATTTTACTATTTATACACTGCATATTGTCCCTGTTTTAATTATTTATTTGTGCAATACATTTTGGAGTCTGCACTTTGTATCCTGTGCTGCTCTCCTCAAGGATATCGTTTAGCCTTTTTAGGCACCCTCCTGCACATTATATAGAGCCTGGGACGGCTTTAAATCCTGTGAGTTTTACGCTACATAAGGAGTCTAACATTATATATATATATATATATATATATATATATATATATGATATATTTGCGCTATGTTGTGTTATTGGATTGATCACGAATGGTCATTTAATTTCCTGGTGCAGTACTTATTCTATGTTAATCTGGCACTGCTAGCAGTGGTGGAACAGGCCATGGCTGGTTGTGGTGGGGTCCCCCGCTGATTTTAGGTGTAAAACAGCGTGGTTGTGGCGGGGGTATGTCCTTGCCAATTGAGTTTGAGGGGTTACGTTTAAGTATATGGAATGAGATGAACAAGTTTTTAAGGTCTCAACCTCCCCTGCTTCAAAAGGTTAAACATTAGGTTGCCTGAGGTGTCGTGCCCATCGAGCGTGGATAAGGTCGGCTGATGGCGGGCATTGGAAAGATATGATTTTATGACGAGGGGGGAGGTGAGAGGAAGTGGTGATTAGGAACCACTGTATGTTTATTGGCAAGGACGGTTGGGTCACTGTATAACACTATGTGTGGAGTTATATATGTATATATGTTAATTTATGATTATTTATGTCTAACGTTTTGGTTACAGAAAAAGAAGAGATTTGATAAATAAAGTTATGGATGTGTTATGCAGTAATTTAGTTTGTGATAATAAATGCTGTGGCCTGTTCATCCATACTAAGTGGTCTGTCATTATTGGGGGGTTGAATGGGGTTAGTTTTGTTATAGGCTGCATCGCAATTCCCCACTACGTACATACAAGTCTGTCACAGACATGAAACCCAAATATTGTGCGTAATTTTTAAAATAATTTCTGTACCTCTTTGCATAAACTGTACCGTTTTTTTTTTTTCTTGTCACGAATATAAAAAAAACAAACTACAATTGATTGCAAACAGGGAGGGTACATCATGTAAATATACTATAAATGAAAAAAAATCTATAGCCTTTTCTTTCTTTTCCATAATCTTAAATTACTTCTCTACAGTATAAACTCCCCATACATTAAAACCCCCAGTTGAACACATGGTCTAATTAGCTGCTAATTAGTCTGTTTATGATTTGCCATGCGCTCAAACTTCTACTACTCATGGGGCAGCAGCAATGGATACAGTATTCATCAGCCCACATGTATAGAACAATAGCAAAAAATAAAAGAACAAAGTTGGGGGGCTCCCAGCATCTAACTCAGCATGGCAGCAGGACGCATCTCGGAGGAGCTCCTCCACCAATATGCCAGAAAAGGCATTTCACAACCAACTACTACTCGATCTGAGCTACTCTACTCGATACCTAAGCTACCTGCCTTACCTACAAAGCGGGAAGGAGGCTGTCCTGCTACACCTGTGGGAAAAGCGGCCCGGTGGGCGCCGGGCGGGGGAATCACCCGATCCCCTGCTTCAAGGAAACCGAGCTGCAGATAAGCATGAACCGGTGCCCCGTAACCCCTCTTTGGACCGGTAGGGGTGATCCTGGTCCCCCCCACAGAGGGCAAGCGCAATCAAGCCCACGGCTACGTGTGCACCCAGCGGCGGCCACACCAAGATGGCGGATGCCACATGGCTCCCAGCATCTAACTCTGTGCTCGAGGACATACTTGTCCGGCTGGACAATCGGTTCCTGGAATTCTGGCGGAGACTAGAAAGCATGTTGAGTGTGCCTACCGCTGTACAGCCAACTGCTCCCTCACACCAGGGCCCACCGCGAAAGCCTGCGGCTCCACCTCGAAGGAAGCACCCCTCACGACGTCTGCCCAAATGGCAGGTACGGCTCACGCGACGGACAACGAAGAAGCCTGACATATCGCTGGGTCACCCACACACATGGCTCAGGCAAATCATTTAAAGCAAGCAACAGAGAGGGGGTCCCTATGCGGCAATGCAGAGTCCAAGGCAGAAACTCCAGCGCAAACTACAGCACCTCGGTCCTAACCCGCTGGGAGAAAGGACACTGCTGCAATAAGGAAGATACCCTGAGAGGAACCCAGAAAGCAACCTCCTTGACATCAGCATGGCCCAGATTGTAAGATCTAGCAGTAACCTCCGAGCTGAGCCCAGCCAAGGCATTGGGTGAAGTACCTATGAAAAGGGGACTGTCTGATATCAGGTTGCCGAATACTCCAGCAGATGACCAGACTTTAACTATCTAGCATACCTACTCACTCACCTCAGCCCTAGCAGAGCGGTGCAGGCACCAAGTGGAGTGTTAAACTCTTCTTGTTAGAATCTCCTCAGATTGCTTACCTTGTTTTTATTTTACTATTTTAAGTATGACAGTGGAACAGGTAAGCGTGGCATGTATTGTTTGCATATACTTAAAATACTGTTTACTCCCAGCATGCTTATATATTGAGCTTATTGGTATAGCACATCGTTCAAATCTTTTCATACATCCAGTAGACATGCACTCAAACAAACAGTTACCATTACACAGTATACTGTTACCTCAGCTTGTTTAATAATCTACTTACTGTGCCTTTAATATGTCACACTAATCTCATCTCGTTTATTCATTATTGGAATACACACTTGCATCTGAAAAAAACGTCAGCTAGAATCCAGATAGATCTCAGATAATCTAGTACGTATCCGATTGTAAAGCGCAGCAGTTTTATATGTTTCAAAAAAAATGCTGGTATGTATCAATTGAATGTAAACTACTATAAAAAATTTAAATGTGCCTGACTAGCAAATACCACGACATGTACTGCATACTGAAGATATATATACCTTGACACCGCTGTTGTGGCATACCAAGGCTGTTTGTCAATCTTTGGGCACAACAAAAAACGTAATTAAAAAAAAAACTCTAGAACAAAAGCATGCAACCTTTTTCTCTTCTCTTCCATCTTAACAGTTTTTCCTGTTTGTACTGAATTCTTGTAAATCTACATGTACCTTATCTGTCTCTTATACAAACGGATGATTTTACACGGTTACCTGGAAAAATAAACAATCCTGTTTCTAAAAAAAGAACAAAGTTACCTGCGCACTATCCCATATCCCTATGCATATTAAAGTAACAAGACTCTAAATGCCATTAAAGTGCTAGCTTACCTGCCCTGTCAAGACAAACCTCTTAGGTGAGTGGAATAAAGGTAAGCTTTCTGGTGAATTTATTTTAATTGTTTTGTTTTTCAAATAAAGAAAACAACAACAACAACAAAAACAAAACAGGGGAGGCCCATAAACCAAAAATAAGGAATACAGGAATTCAGACTTTGCCAAGTCTAATAGCACATACATATAAACCTCAGAAGACCAACCCTTTCAAAACTCTCCATATATGGCATCGCTTTTAGAACAGGCCAGCCAGCCAAACACCGGAGCAGAACAAGGAGGAACGAGGGAAAACATTGCAAAAAGACAAAAGGAACATCAAAACCCACGGAAACAGAAGAACATATTTTTTTCCCAAAAAAAAAAACAGCTCAAGGTGCACAGAGCAGTAGACATCGAACACTGAACTGACTGTTGATAAGACAAAAGGTATCGTCCAAACCTTTTTCTTTCTGTACCACTAACAGAATACAAACCTTCATCTTAAATCGTGATCTTGAAAAAGTTCTTTGGGAACCAGCAAAGGAAGGTTTCTTTTTACTGATGATGTTTGATGTGATGCTACCTGTCGACATCGTTGTAGCTGGGTGGGTGATTAGCATTTAAGGATGGAGAAATAATTTATTAACTCTATTTCTGTCCAGGATACCCAATGTTGGCCTCTGTGCCCAAACAAATCTATTAATTTTACAGCCAATGTGGGAGTGAGCCTATTTCTTTACTTGTGCTGCTAACGGAAGATAGCAGAGACTGGCAGAATCACTGAGAGATATCCGAACATAGAGATTCTACAAGAGTCCAATATTATTATTATTATTATTATTTATACAGTACCAGCAAATTAAAGGATCACTATCACAAAGGGGTTTTCTTGACACTGTAGTGCCCTGAGGTTGCCCCTTTAGTTACTTACTTTAAACCAGCGCCGGGCTCCCTCGGTGCTGGTGACCTCTCCTCCCCATCCAACGTCAGCTCCCCCGTCCGACGTCACTGGAGCCAAATGCGCATGCGCGGCAAGGGCCGCGCGCGCATTCAAAGTGTCCATAGGAAAGTATTTCTCAATGCTTTCCTATGGACACTCTGCGTGATTGAGGCGAAATTCGCCTCCAGCATCGCAGATGCGCCTCTAGTGGCTGGCTTAATTCCAAATGTAAACATAGCAGTTTCTCTGAAACTGTTATGTTTACATGTGAAGGGTTAAAACCTGAGGGACCTGGCACCCAGACCACTTTATTGAGCTGAAGTGGCCTGCATGACTATAGTGTCCCTTTAAGTAGCGCTGTACAATAGGTAGACTAACAGACACGTAATTGTCTGTAACCAGACAAATGGGCGCACAGGAACAGAGGGGTTGAGGGCCCTGCTCAATGAGCTTACATGCTAGAGGGAGTGGGGTATAGTGAAACAAAGTGGGAGGACCAGGGCAGAAACCTCTTCCGTTGTAGTAGGTGCAAATGAGCATAGAACATAGAATAGATTTGTAGAGTGAGGTTGCAGAGTGAGGGCAAGTGAGATTTGAGATGGGTAGAAGGAGAGTTTGGAGTAGAAATGCTGGAGATCAAGGCAGTGGAGGTTTCAGTGAGATTGGAGAGTTGAGGCTGGTGAAATTTAATGGTGAATAACCACAGCAGAGGTTCGCCAGTCTACATTAAGCCATAATCAGCCAGAGGTAAACCATGGTGACGTCACTCAGGATTCGAACAAAATATCACAGCAAAGCTTCTGTCGCCTGCCACAGAAATTAAATGGGGCTTATTCACTTAACTGGAAACTGGACGATTGACAGAACTGACTCATTTTAAATAAAAGAAACCAAGATGCTTCACAGACATGGACAATTATTCAGGCTTAATTCTTTAGTGAGTAGATTGCCGAGACTGTGCTGTACACTCCCTCCCATTGCCCTGCAGGTGAATTGCATTCCACCTTCTGCAAGGTGAACTCACCTGCACAGGCTGACACAGATCTGTACTTTACACCCAGTGACGCTGCGAGACCGCTACACTCCGAGAACAACTGTAAGTAAAGTACCCCCTTTAACCACGTTTCTTTCACATTTGTGTTTATATTATATTTTCATTTCTTGCTTTTTTTGTTTTTGCCTATTAGTTTATATGTATGTAGGTCTAATGTAGATTTTGTTTTGACATTGCTATTTAAGATTTTTGTTTTACATCTTGGTTGTGTTTCCTTATACCATTCAATTTACACATATTCATTTTATTTTCCTGGGCTTGAATAGGTTTTCACATTGTGTGGCAACAGATAGTTCTTACCCCTGTAATATCAGGATAAAGTTATCAGTAAATGACTTTCTATGCTAAAGCATGGACTCAGTGCTCACTCTGTCTATACACTATATAAATTCATAGATAGGTACAAGCAGGGCTCGCTCTGTCTATACACTATATAAATTCATAGATAGGTACAAGCAGAGCTCGCTCTGTCTATACACTATATAAATCCATAGATAGAAGCAGGGCTCTCTCTGTTTATAGACTATATAAATCCATAGATAGGTACAAGCAGGGCTCACTCTGTCTATACACTATATAAATCCCTAAATAGAAGCAGGGCTCGCTCTGTTTATACACTATATAAATTCATAGATAGGTACAAGCAGGGCTCGCTCTGTCTATACACTATATAAATTCATAGATAGGTACACGCAGGGCTCGCTCTGTCTATACACTATATAAATCCATAGATAGATAGAAGCAGGGCTCACTCTGTCTATACACTATATAAATCCCTAAATAGAAGCAGGGCTCACTCTGTTTATACACTATATAAATTCATAGATAGGTACAAGCAGGGCTCGCTCTGTCTATACACTATATAAATTCATAGATAGGTACAAGCAGGGCTCGCTCTGTCTATACACTATATAAATTCATAGATAGGTACACGCAGGGCTCGCTCTGTCTATACACTATATAAATCCATAGATAGAGGCAGGGCTCGCTCTGTCTATACACTATATAAATCCATAGATAGAGGCAGGGCTCGCTCTGTCTATACACTATATAAATCCATAGATAGAAGCAGGGCTCGCTCTGTTTATACACTATATAAATCCATAGATAGAAGCAGGGCTCGCTCTCTTTATACACTATATAAATCCATAGATAGAAGCAGGGCTCGCTCTGTCTATACACTATATAAATCCATAGATAGAAGCAGGGCTCGCTCTGTTTATATACTATATAAATCCATAGATAGATAGAAGCAGGGCTCGCTCTGTTTATACACTATATAAATCCATAGATAGATAGAAGCAGGGCTCGCTCTGTTTATACACTATATAAATCCATAGATAGAAGCAGGGCTCGCTCTGTTTATACACTATATAAATCCATAGATAGAAGCAGGGCTCGCTCTGTTTATACACTATATAAATCCATAGATACAAGCAGGGCTAGCTCTGTTTATACACTATATAAATCCATAGATAGAAGCAGGGCTTGCTCTGTCTATACACTATATAAATCCATAGATAGAAGCAGGGCTCGCTCTGTCTATACACTATATAAATCCATAGATAGATAGAAGCAGGGCTCGCTCTGTTTATACACTATATAAATCCATAGATTGATAGAAGCAGGGCTCGCTCTGTTTATACACTATATAAATCCATAGATAGATAGAAGCAGGGCTCGCTCTGTTTATGCACTATATAAATCCATAGATAGATAGAAGCAGGGCTCGCTCTGTTTATACACTATATAAATCCATAGATAGAAGCAGGGCTCGCTCTGTTTATACACTATATAAATCCATAGATAGATAGAAGCAGGGCTCGCTCTGTTTATACACTATATAAATCCATAGATAGATAGAAGCTGGGCTTGCTCTGCTTATACACTATATAAATCCATAGATAGATAGAAGCAGGGCTCGCTCTGTCTATACACTATATAAATCCATAGATAGAAGCAGGGCTCGCTCTGTTTATACACTATATAAATCCATAGATACAAGCAGGGCTAGCTCTGTTTATACACTATATAAATCCATAGATAGAAGCAGGGCTTGCTCTGTCTATACACTATATAAATCCATAGATAGAAGCAGGGCTCGCTCTGTCTATACACTATATAAATCCATAGATAGATAGAAGCAGGGCTCGCTCTGTTTATACACTATATAAATCCATAGATTGATAGAAGCAGGGCTCACTCTGTTTATACACTATATAAATCCATAGATAGATAGAAGCAGGGCTCGCTCTGTTTATACACTATATAAATCCATAGATAGATAGAAGCAGGGCTCGCTCTGTTTATACACTATATAAATCCATAGATAGATAGAAGCAGGACTCGCTCTGTTTATACACTATATAAATCCATAGATAGATAGAAGCAGGGCTCGCTCTGTTTATACACTATATAAATCCATAGATAGATAGAAGCTGGGCTTGCTCTGTTTATACACTATATAAATCCATAGATAGATAGAAGCAGGGCTCGCTCTGTTTATACACTATATAAATCCATAGATAGATAGAAGCAGGGCTCGCTCTGTTTATACACTATATAAATCCATAGATAGATAGAAGCAGGGCTCGCTCTGTCTATACACTATATAAATCCATAGATAGAAGCAGGGCTCGCTCTGTTTATACACTATATAAATCCATAGATACAAGCAGGGCTTGCTCTGCTTATACACTATATAACTCCATAGACAGAAACAGGGCTCGCTCTGTTTATACACTATATAAATCCATAGATAGATAGAAGCAGGGCTCACTCTGTCTATACACTATATAAATCCATAGATAGAAGCAGGGCTCGCTCTGTTTATACCCTATATAAATCCATAGATGAATAGAAGCAGGGCTCGCTCTGTTTATACACTATATAAATCCATAGATAGATAGATAGAAGCAGGGCTCGCTCTGTTTATATGCTATATAAATCCATAGATAGATAGAAGCAGGGCTTGCTCTGCTTATACACTATATAAATCCATAGATGGATAGAAGCAGGGCTCGCTCTGTTTATACACTATATAAATCCATAGGGAGGTAGAAGCAAAGCATGTTGGGCATGTCTTCATCTTAACTCCTTAACCCAGTGGTTCCCAAATATTTTAGGCGCCCTTAACATTTCAGTATTTTTTCAAGGCACCCTAGGTCAAAAGTTCTAGGTTGTAAATCGGTACAGCGCTGCTGCATTTACTTGCACTATAGTGTAATGTACAGTGTTGGTGTTTGAATGGGTGCTTGTATACATTTATTGTGTTTTAATACAGGGGTGTGTTTGTATATAATGTTTGCGTTTGATTGAAGGGGTGTGCTTGTATGTTGTGCTGGTGTTTGACTGATTGGATGTATGCACATCCACACTTACACAGATATTCATGCACATTATCACACAGATGCATATAAATACACCGACAATACACACAAATTCATATAGACACCGACACACACACACATATAGATACACACCGACACATACATACAAGCTGACATATACACACATGCACCCTGACACACACAAACATTGATACATGCCCACACCATGACACAGATGCACACACGGACATAAAAACACACACCCTGACACACAGATGCACATAGAATGTGACGGCAGATAAGAACCATTTGGCTCATCTAGTCTTCCCAATATTTCAAAATACTTTGAATTAGTCCCTGGCCTTATCTTAAGTCTAGGATAGCCTTATGCCTATCCCACACATGCTTAACCCCTTAAGGACCAAACTTCTGGAATACAATGTAATCATGACATGTCACATGTCATGTGTCCTTAAGGGGTTAAACTCCCTCACTCCCTCCCTCTACCACTTCAGCTGGAAGACTATTCCATGCATCCACTACCCTCTCAGTAAAGTAATACTTCCTGATATTATTTTTAAACCTTTGCCCCTCTAATTTAAGACTATGTCCTCTTGTGGTAGTTCTCCTTCTTTGAAATATAGTCTTCTCCTTTACTGTGTTGATTCCCCTTTATGTATTTAAATGTTTCTATCATATATCCCCTGTCTTGTCTTTCCTCCAAACTATAAATGTTAAGTTCCTGTAACCTTTCCTGGTAAGTTTTATCCTGCAATCCATGAACCAGTTTAGTAGCCCTTCTCTGAACTCTCTCTAAAGTATCAATATCTTTCTGGAGATACGGTCTCCAGTACTGCGTACAATACTCCAAGTGAGGTCTCACCAGTGTTCTATGCAATGGCATGGGCACTTCTCTCTTTCTACTGCTAATACCGCTCCCTATACAACAAAGCATTCTGCTAGCATTTCCAGCTGCTCTATTACATTGTCTTCCTACCTTTAAGTCATCTGAAATAATTACTCCTAAATCCCTTTCCTCAGATGTTGAGGTTAGTAGGGTATCAAATATCCTATACTCTGCCCTTGGGTTTTTATGTCCTAGGTGCATTATTTTGCACTTATCCACACAGCTCTGACCATTTTTCTAAATCATTTGCCATTTGGCTTATCCCTCCTGGAACATCAACCCTGTTGCAAATTTTAGTATCATCAGCAAAAAGACATACCTTACCATCAAGACCTTCTGCAATATCACTAATAAAAATATTAAAGATAATGGGTCCAAGTACAGATCCCTGAGGTACCCCACTGGTAACTAGACCTTGCTTTGAATTTACTCCGTTGACTACAACCCTCTGTTGCCTGTCATTCAGCCACTGCCTAACCCATTCAACAATATTGGAATCCAAACTTAAAGATTGCAGTTTATTGATGAGCCTTCTATGTGGAACAGTGTCAAACACCTTACTGAAATCTAGGTAAGCAATGTCTACTGCACCACCCTGATCTATTATTTTAGTTACCCAATCAAAAAAATCAATTAGATTAGTTTGGCATGATCTCCCTGAAGTAAACCCATGTTATCTCTGATCTTGAAATCCATGTGTTTTTAGATGTTCAACAATCCTATCCTTTAACATGGTTTCCATCACTTTCCCCACTACTGAAGTAAGGCTTACTGGCCTATAGTTGCCTGACTCCTCTCTGCTACCTTTCTTGTGAATGGGTACAACATTCGCTAACTTCCAATCTTCTGGGACTATTCCTGTTAACAATGATTGGTTAAATAAATCCGTTAATGGTTTTGCTAGTACACCACTAAGTTCTTTTAATAACTTTGGGTGTATCGCATCAGGCCCCATCGACTTATTTGTCTTTACTTTTGACAGTTGAAATAGAACCTCTTCCTCTGTAAACTCACACGTAACAAATTACTCATTTGTCCTTTTTCTTACTGAGGCCCCTTTCCTTCATTTTAATCTCTAAATAATGAACAAAAATATTGAGGCAATCAGCTAGACATTTATCCTCTTCTACATACATTCCTTCTTTTGCTTTTAATCTAACTAATCCTTGTTTTACTTTCCTTTTCTCATTTATGTATCTAAAAAATGTTTTATCCCCCTTTTTTACTGACTGTGCTATTTTCTCTTGTGTGTGTGCTTTGGAAGCTCTTATAACTTGCTTAGCCTCTTTTTGCCTAATCTTATAGATCTATCTGTCTTCCTCACTCTGTTTTTTTTTTATAATTACTAAATGCTAACTGTGCGAAACCGACCTCGCCACTGGGCATTGGAGAAGACTGACTGCCAGCCTCCTGCCATGTGACTATGGCCCCTGGGATGTATTGCCCTTTAAAGACATGATTTGGGCATAATGGATTTGTGTTGTGCTGCTGCTGGCCCTTTAAGAACCATCTGGGGACATACTGTGGAGTTACTGGGTGGTCACCATTTCCTGTATCAGAGGCACATGGTGAGAACCATGGATGAAGCACATGGTGAGAACAATGGATGGCGGCCATTTTAACTCACAGACACTGTTTGGACTTTTCAACACGGTGCCATCTCGCCAGTATTTGGTGCACAGAGACATCGTGCAGTGGTTTTGGACTATACAACAGGGGACACATTATACAGTGATTGTTTTTCATTTAACCTGTATATGTTATGCAGAATCTGCATTAAACTGTATCTTCCAAAGTACTGAACGGATCTGGGTGAATTTTGGATATGTGGTTCACCCAGATCCCCCGGTTCCAAGGATATACTTTTTATATACTTTTTATGGGGTTATTGCATGTTTTGGGGTCCCTGTGATGTGTTTTATGAAACTATATTTCTCTGTCTGTGATAATTAGATTACCCTTTGTGTAAGGTAATTGTATTACAGGCAGAGGGGAGGATTTTGTGTGGGAGTGTCTGTGTGTATTGTACAGATTGATTGGTTGTTCTGTAAAACCTTGTGGGCAGTACTAAATTTGTGGATTGGGAATAAAAGAGGCTGTATGTGCCAGTACAGTGAGTTCCTGTTTTAACCCTCAAAGTGAAGTGTCGTCTCATTATTGGGGAAAGGATTTATTGTATGCTGTTTCAGTTTGACTGCTAGGAGAGTAAACCTATTCGTATGGTTCCTATTCAACTGTCTACAGCATTCATAGGCTTGAGAGGATTCATATGCTTCTCCGGTTCGGTGGTTGTGGTGTCTGCTGCAGTGCTTGTGTAACCGTGTAAGCGTGCAGAAGCCGAACACAGAGAGATGGACACAGGTATTCAGGAAGTAAGAGGCCTTTATTCACATTACCGATCGGGTCTCAGATGAACTCCTGTTCCAAAATTCTAAGCACTGAATACATAGAGTACATTCCTTATATAGCACTGTAGCTCCTCCCATAATTAGCTACGCCCACACATACCCTTAACCTAATCAATGAATAGAGTCTAAACTCAACCTATATTAGACGGGCTGACTACAGAGCGTCTAATGTCCAGATAAGCGAACTAGAGGGCAGAATTTACACCAATACCCTTTTACACTATAAATAATCTAGTGGCTGGATTTACAACAGAGCACACTTAGTTAAGATAGGGTGAAATCAAGCAAACTATAATATACAACAGAGTCTGCTTAGTTTCGCCAATCTCCCCGACCTAGCAACCAAAATTTACACCTAGCATGCTAGTCAAGGCAGGACATCGGTGTCCGACATGAGCTATTTACACCAGAACTCAGTCTGACAATACCACCTATATTAGACGGGCTGACTACAGAGCGTCTAATGTCCAGATAAGCGTTGCGCCTTCGCTTCTTCCTTCCAGAGGGAAGGGGCCAATTCCAATAACCAGTTCCAAATATAAAACCCCTTGTGGGTCTACCGCTCTAACTGTATCAGTCTTACCTGTTAGTTCCTGGACCTGGGTTCACACTCATCGACGGAACACCCCGGTACTCACTGCGCAGAAGCCAATGATCTCCTGGACAAAAGGCCAGTAGCGCCGAGACGAAAGGAGGTCCACGCAGAAGTCCAGGGGTGCTGTCGTGGAGAACGTTGGTAAAGATCTACCGTCTCACGTCTGTCTCAGCTACCGTGACGATGAGCTTCCCGGCCAATGCACCAGAGATGTAACCGTGTAAGTGTGCAGAAGCCGAACACAGAGAGATGGACACAGGTATTCAGGAAGAGGCCTTTATTCACATTACCGATCGGGTCTCAGATGAACTCCTGTTCCAAAATTCTGAGCACTGAATACATAGAGTACATTCCTTATATAGCACTGTAGCTCCTCCCATAATTAGCTACGCCCACACATACCCTTAACCTAATCAATGAATAGAGTCTAAACCAGGGCCGGACTGGGGAAAAAATTCGGCCCGGGCATTTTTAATTACAGCGGCCCACTGAAAAGGGGGCGGGACCAGATAGGGTGTGTTTTGTCATCCCCAATGACAAGCACGCCCCATCTCAAAGTGAGCATGTTGGTTCAATGCTCTTCCAGGGCATGAGAAAAGGGCCCTGTATTTGATCTGCACAGCGCAAGCAAATTTAATAACATGCTTGCATTGTGTTTGCTTGAAACTTGTCTCAGGGGTTTCCATAATTGGAATACTCACTGTATCCCATTTATGGAGACACTATGTGTTTGCTTAAAGGATATCTAGTGTGTTCATAGGGGATCCTGAGTGTGTATGTCAGAAATGTAGTGTGTGTGTAAGTGGTGCAGCGTCTGTGTGTAGGGGATCTAGTGTGTGTTTGAAGGACTCCGGAGTGCGTATAGGAGATCTAGTGAGTGTGTGACTGGTGCTGTGTGTTTGGGGGGTGCTGTGTGTGTGAGGGGTGTAGTGTGCATTTGTGAGGAGTATAGTGTGTGTGGGAGGGTGCAGTATGTGTGTGGGAGGGTGCTGTGTGTGAGGGCACTGTGCGAGGGTTCTGTGTATTTGAGGGTGCTGTGTATTTGAGGGTGATGTGTGTGTGTGTGTGCTAGGTTGCTGTATGTGTTAGGGTGCTGTGTCAATGTTAGGGTGCTGTGTGTGTGTGTGTGTTAGGGTGCTGTGTCAATGTTAGGGTGCTGGTGTTAGGGTGCTGTGTGTGTTTTAGGGTGCTGTGTGAGTGTTAGGGTGCTGTGTGTGTGTTAGGGTGATGTGTCAATGTTAGGGTGCTGGTATTAGGGTGCTATGTGTGTGTTGGGGTGCTGGTGTTAGGGTGCTGTGTGTGTGTTATGGTTCTGTGTCAATGTTAGGGTGCTGGTGTTAGGGTGCTGTGTGTGTGTTAGGGTTCTGTGTCAATGTTAGGGTGCTGGTGTTAGGGTGCTGTGTGTGTGTTAGGGTTCTGTGTCAATGTTAGGGTGCTGTGTGTGTGTTAGGGTGCTGTGTGTGTGTTAGGGTGCTGGTGTTAGGGTGCTGTGTGTGTGTTAGGGTGCTGTGTCAATGTTAGGGTGCTGTGTGTGTGTTAGGGTGCTGGTGTTAGGGTGCTGTGTGTGTGTTAGGGTGCTGTGTCAATGTTAGGGTGCTGGTGTTAGGGTGCTGTGTGAGTGTTAAGGTGCTGGTGTTAGGGTGCTGTGTCAAAGTTAGGGTGCTGGTGTTAGGGTGCTGTGTGAGTGTTAGGGTGCTGTGTCAATGTTAGGGTGCTGGTGTTAGGGTGCTGTGTCAATGTTAGAGTGCTGGTGTTAGGGTGCTGTGTATGTGTTAGGGTGCTGGGTGTGTTTGCCAGGATTTTGTATTGGGGGAGGCAGGTAAATGGAACTATTAATGTTTTACTAAAAAATAAAAATAAATACATAATAATAAATAATAATAATAAATAATAAAAATAAATAATAAAAATAAATACATAATAATAAATACTAATAATAAATACTAATAATAAATAATAAAAATAAATACATACTAATAAATACTAATAATAAATAATAATAAATACTAATAAGAAATACTAATAATAAATAATAAAAATAAATACATACTAATAATAAATAATAAAAATAAATACATACTAATAAATACTAATAATAAATACATAATAATAAATACATTATATCCCCCCCACCCCCTCTATTCTTACCTGTAGTCTGGAAGGGGGGGGGGGTCGTGCTCCTGCCAGCCATCCCTGTTGGTCCTCGTGGTTAGTGAACTCTAGCCCTTTGGGGCTAGAGTTCACTCTCGCGAGACCCGGCCGGTTGCCATAGCAACGGTCCGGATCTCGCGAGAGAAACCCGGCGGAGCTGCAAGTTAGAGCTCCGCCGGGTCCTCTCTCCTGGCGGCTGGCTCCCTCCCTCTCTCCCCGCCGGCGGCCGCGTTTGAATGCATTTGGGCCGGTGAGGGAGATCTTTGATCTCCCCACCGGCCCTTCATGGAACACAGCGGGGCCGGCGCTCGGATAGCGCCGGCCCTGCATAGACCGGCAGGGGAGATCCTGGGACCTCCCCTGCCGGCCTCGGCCCATGGCCACCGCGGCCCACCGGGCATTTGCCCGGTGTGCCCGATGGCCAGTCCGGGCCTGGTCTAAACTCATCCATCCGGTCTAACCACGTGGCTCATGTGAAACAAAGGAGAGGGACGCGTAATTCCAGTTCCTGCATTCCTGCACATGCTCAGTACATTGATGACAGTATCTTAGCTACGTGTAACTAACTAACTGATACTACAAACACATGTACCTACATATGCCTTGTGGCAATCTTGGCCTGCTAAACTTTTATTTTACTGGAATTCCATCACATCCCCCCCTTTGATGCTTCTGATTTAAAATAATTCCAGATGCATCATCAATCATAGTTTGCCAACACCTCTCAAGTAGCCATGAGCCAGAACAGACCTCGTAAGCATCCTTAGCATATTCTTTTAGCATTCCCCTTCCTGAATATTCTCTCTCTGGGCTAGAGGTTCATATTTACAGACAGCCATTACATGGGCAGCTGTCTTCCTCTCAATAGTGCTGCCTACAACACTTCGTATGGACCTGACCACTAATGGAATCAGGCAGGGAAGGAGGAAGCACAAGAAATATAATAAATACTTCTCCTCCTACTAATGCCTTAATCCCTCCAAGCTGCTCATACCAACTTCCAAACCAACTACTTGGGTTATACCCACTCCAGACCTGAGTAGGTACATGCGCAAGTTTAACCATGTGACTGGTAAGTTCAGCCACTGCCTGCCCTTCATCTTTGTGCAGTTACTTAGATTAAACTTTCCGCATACACCTCTCTCTACTGCTAATAAATAGTCCAGAGCTAATCTATTTTGATAGATGGCTGATCTCATTCGGTATTATGTTTAGCTAGGAGATTGAGCGCCTGTGCTGTCTCATTTGTGATCATCTCAACCACCGCCTGTAGTCTTATAATACGATTAAGCATATAGATTGGGGTTCTATATCCATAAGTACCATCTTCTGCCCAAGTAGCCGGTCTATAATAATTAATAATACGTTGGAGAGGCCACTCATCATCTTCCCAGCTACCTATGTAAGAAATTATGACCCTCTTACAAGGATATTCTTTTAGGGAATGTGTGACAAATAAGACATAAACACAAGTTTATAATAAAATGTATTGTAAATATTCATTTAAGGATACTGTTAGATTTTAAAAGGATATACACAATATACATTATACATTATATCCGGTACAAAATTAAAAGCTACATAATAAAAGGGCAATATTTAAACATTTAAATGCAGGTCTTCCCCTTGCGCCTTCATCTTGGGTAATCTGGGACAGCCTCTCTCAGTTCACCATGGCCCTGCTTGCTGCGTTGTCCTCTCCAAAGAGAGAGAGAAAGAGAGAGAGCCTTCCTTGGTTGTTGTCCTTTTAAAGACTGATTCTTGGAGTAATAAACTACAAGTCCCAGAATCCCTTTTCCTTCCCAAAAGTGGTTTATCCCGTCCTCTTTCTCCAGAGAGTTCTGTCTTTACACAAGTCTTTCCCTTTGATCTTTTCCCTCCAGCCATACTGTAACATTGTGAAAGACCAGTTGATTAGGTTTCTTGGTAGATTGGACAGGATTGCTTGGGAAAACACACACTTCCATGGTTACACCTAGATGTTAAAACTGGTTGGCAGGAGAACTGCTGGAGGGATGTAAGCTTTTGTCTTAGCTGCGTGGTGTAAAATGCAACTGAACGCTTTGATCCTTATCACACTGTTATCAAGTAAATGACCCCCACTTGTTAAACCAGTCACATACACAGAAAGTATTGCAGTTTGGAATATCAATTTCTTACAGTCCCCACCTAGAGGGCGAATGACTCAACAAGAAAATGAGCCCTCTCAAAGAAATACAGTATTTGTATTATGTGTGTTTTAAATGATTATGTGTTTTACTGAGACACAAATGACTTGACTACCACATATATTTATAATTTAGGGTACTGCAAGGCATAATTTAGCCAAATCATTGAGGCACTTACAGTTATCATTTTTCACCATTAATCGGAACTCCTTCAGCCATATCCGCAACCTTTCATTACCCTCATAGGCTCAGCATCACTGCAACCATTAGATTTCACTCCCATCACGCTCAGTTACCTGTGCCACCAGCACTGCTTCCACCACACTGTTCCTTTAACCCTGGCCTTCCTTACTTTGGGCTATTAGGCCTCTGACCTCTGCCCACCATGACACCTGGTGTATTTTCACACCAACAGCAGTTCATTTGCTGTTCACTTACATAGTGTATTAAAGAGACCACACAAGGGAGAAACACAGTTTATTGTTTGGAGTGGGGATCCGAGTGAAGGTGTTTGTGCACGTTTATTGGGAGTTTATTAAAAGTTGTATAGCTGGAGTGGGTTTGTGTTTGAGCCCTTGAGGATGTTTAATAAGTTTTCGATAGGCCCTTGGCTTCCGGAAATTAAAAGATTCTCAGCACAGAAAGTGCGCAGTGTTACATTATGCAAATCACTAGTGGTTTGATTATCATCCTTGTCTCAGTACTACCGTCTGGATTCACAAGTTGTCATCTAAAACATTGTGAACACAAATGTGAGCAAAATGCAACCAGTATTGATGTGTACTCATAACAGTATAAAATAATTTACTATAACCTTACTAAAACCATAAATATTTAACCCCTTGTGGAAAACCAAATAGAGCAAATAGAAAATGCTAAATCATATATTGTCACTCACCCCACCTTGACTCAAAAACAATATAAAATATACAAACTGGTCTAATTTGTCTATATGCTATACCCCACCTTGAGAGTATAAATTAAAACAAAAACAAACAAAGAATAACCATTATCATTCTATTGTTCACCCAACCTTGACCCAAGGAAATGTAAAATATATGCAATTATCTGTTTTCCCTATATTCCCTTTAGAGTGTGAAATACAATAAAAAGCATTAGAAAACAACAAAATCAAAGAAGATGGAGAGAGAAAAAAGTAGATTGAATGCTACCATCACCTATGGGCATTGAACTGTATACAAAGTTTGGCAGCGTGCAATCTAAAAGAAACCTGACAATGGTCTGTTGCCTTTCAAAGATTAAAATCAAAAATCGGCTTGAGGCTATTTATGTTGGTAACCAAATGAAAAAAAAGACAAAACCAAAAATATTTACTGTTGTAAACCAACAGACAGTTACACTATCACATCTCTCCAGTGTGATCAACGTATAAGCCTCACGTTAGCAACAATTCATCTAATCTAGAAATATATAAAATTAGTAATCCAGTATCAAAATACAAAAATAAAAATAAAACATAGCTGTTAGTGCAGGTGTGCTAAACTAATAAAAAACAAAAATAATTTGGAATTTGGACCACCTGACTGTAATGAATGAGTTTAGAGGCTTATCCTTAATATGAAAAAAAAATATATAAAACTACATATTAAGGTCCTCTATAAACTGGAACTGTATTTTTCCTGAAATAAATAAACATGTTAAATGGTTGGTCTTCTCACAGGTCTATATTTGTCTTCCTTCTCAATTGGCATCATCTCCGTAGTTTTCTAAAAAAAAAAAAAAACTTCAAGAGAAAGTTAATACCACACAAATAGAATAGGTCATTCAAGAAAAACTGTATCTGTTATCAGATTCTTTGTGTTAACCATCTCCTCTAATCTACTTAATTGTGCCTTGAGACAATCCAGTTTTTCAAGGAACTCATTACGTTCACATGTAAGAGAAAGATTTTCTGCCTTTAGTTGTCTATTCTGTGCTTTAAGCACATGGTAGGGAATCCAAGGTCCTGTGGGGGGGATACCATTATTATCTTTTCTCTATGATCTCCACCTAGGGTGATTATTTTTATTTCCAAGAGTCCATCTATCACACATGGGCCTTTCATGATGAATATGCACATCTGATTTACAAAATTTTTCAATATGTCCCATCCTACCACACCTAAAACATGTAATGGATTTTATATGTGGGGACTTTCTCTGATTGATATATCCGTGAGGTTGGGGACTTTGTATCAATGACACTTGTCTTTTATTTACTTTTTCTTGATTTAGTAAAATTGCTTCAGCCCTTTTTAAGCAATTCAGTATATTTACAAAGGTGTCCTGTGGGGACACAGTTAAACCAATTAACCCTCGAATATCTGGCAGTGTCCTATTAAGTAATGCTTTCTTATATGCATATTCATTCTGATCAGCATGTGCTCCAGGTGGAACAGTCAGTTTGAATAAAACAAATAACCTATTTACAAACCCTTGAACAGACTCCCCTCTCTTCTGCGCACAATTACCAAAAGCAAAATGATGATTTATTTCCTCTAGACCAAGCGCGTTTAATAACTCTTTGAAAAGTTGTTGCTTGGTTCTAGGTTCTATAAATATCTCATGTGGCAGACTTGCTCTTAGTGACTGGTCTGTACTAGCAATTATAACATCAAAAATATCCAATTCATTTAAGTTTCAGTGGATTTTTTCAAATTGATCAATTTTTAACATTACATCTACTGGATCATCATCCAAGCGTATACATCCCAGTTCTTTGCTCAGTGCAATAACCTCTGTATGTTTTAAGGAATGGGTCACAGTAGTTTTATGTAGTACATTTCCCTGTGCATCCACCATGTGCTCTGTAGATACTGGTCCCATTTTAGAAGGAATACTGCGCTCACAAATACCATAAACATCTGCAAAAACACCACACTCTATGTTATGTACAACATTTGTATTGGGTTCTGCAGCATTGCATGCAGGTCCAACAGCATTTCTATTTTGTAATTGGGATTTCAATGAATTCATTTGATACATGCAATCTGAATGATCAGCCTCTTTCTGGCTGCTGGATGCAAGGATCCTAATAGCACCCTCTGCATCCTTCAGCCTTTCTACAAGCTGCTCATTACGACTGCGCAATTCCTCATTTTCAAGACGCATTTGCTGACTACCTACACACAAAGCAGCAGCATTTTGCGCAGACAGCTTAAAACCTTCCACTTCATTCTTTAAACTCAAAACATCTGCCTCTAATTTCTCTTTTTGCCTATTTAAAGATTTATACTTATCCGCAATCCAACGGGCAGCATAAATCAAAGCATTTTTACCACTAGATTTGGACAATTTATTTTCAATAATTGCCCTGGCCACATAATCCTGAGCATTAAGCCACGGATCTAATGCACCATCCATACATTTAATTATTGCTTCTGGATTAGACACCTTAGCAATCTTTTTCAATAAACTCTCCATCATTGACAGCGCACAATTCACTGAAATGTCTAAACACTATATCTGAACAGTATCCAAAAGTAAATATACAATCTATACAATTATGAATTTGCTTATAAATCACACTAAATCCCTCCTACCTGGCACGCCAATTTGTAAGAAATTATGACCCTCTTACAAGGATATTCTTTTAGGGAATGTGTGACAAATAAGACATAAACACAAGTGTATAATAAAATGTATTGTAAATATTCATTTAAGGATACTGTTAGATTTTAAAAGGATATACACAATATACATTATACATTATATCCGGTACATAATCAAAAGCTACATAATAAAACATTATAGGCTTTTTGTCCCAAGCAGGTTAGCTCACCTACAGACGTGTTATACATTGTCCCTTTCCTGGCTATACAAACATGACCTATAATGGAGGTTTTCAACCGCCATCCTGATTTACCTCTAGTACTCACTTGATGATCAGACTGAGAGAGTATCTGTTGTTCATCTGTCTCAGAACCAGGGTACCATGCCTCCTTTGCTTCCCATGGCCACTGGTCTCCCATGTTAGTACCTCCACATACATAGCAATTAGTTACATTAAGCCTACCCGCAATACTCTCAGCCAAATCAATAAATAGGTTCTTAACATTATGGGAAATTTTATCCTCAACACTCATCTCCTCATAAAAGGAATGGAAAACCTGATGAGTTTGAGTTGCCACTGTCTCAGTTTCAAGACCTACATATATTATTGTTCCTGGATCTACTCCTGTGCCTTGTATTTGGAACCCAAAAATATTTCCAAATTTGTCAATAAAATGCTGGGGATTAGAGATGGTCATACGGACCGGATTACATTCCATAGATTTACAGTATGGTGTGGTAGGCAACCTTTGGATAATCATATCTTGATCCACTGTTTTTCCCCAGGTTGCCCACCCTACACAAAACCAATAGGGACAAAAATTATAATCTCTATTTGGGCAATCAGGATCAGTAGATCTTTTACTGGGACATAAGTATTTATCATTACACCCACAAGTTCGTTCCCATTTAAGATTACCACATACATTCCAAGGTTTTCCACTACCCGAGATCGCCTTACATGCATCAAATAGTAGAATACCCGTAGAATGTATGGTATTTATCACCATCCTATTTATCAAGGTCCCCTGAGAGTTGCTATTCCGAATTACCCACCAAATTGTACGGGGTTGGAATTGGGGATCAAAACATTTAGACTCTCCTTCTGCTAGGTGACACACACTGTAATCAATATCCAAATATCGACATTTAGATACAGACCGCTTACATTCATACTGTGAGTGCCAAATAAGAGTTTGGGATATTTGATTACCTGTCTTAGTAGTCTTAATGCAACTATCACAATTCTGTATGTCTGTACTCTTACCTCCCTGAAAATTTATAATAACACATAAATACACAATAAAATTTATTATTCCTGGTATCCTCATTCTTGTTTCTTCGACCGTGCGACGGCACCTCAGCTTCCCACTTGTGAGGGCTGCAAGGATTGGCGTTCTTCTGATCCTCACTTTCCTTCACAGAGATCTCTTCGAGACACTCTGACTTATGACACGTAGGCAGATGGTCAGGCTTTATTATGGCCGTCAAAACACCTACTTGCTGATCTCAAAATAATACTTCCAACCACGATGTCCCAATACTTCACATTCACTCCGACTGAGTCACCCGCTTTAACCGGATCTTGAAAGGATTTTCAGGATCTGGAATGGCTTGCCAAAAGTCTGCTGCTGATTTAACCCTAGAGTGATGAATCCACTGAGTCACTTCTGCCACCTTTACAGCTGTTGGAGTGGACAAAAGAACAACATAAGGACCTCTCCATTTCGGACCTAATGGAACACTATTCTATTCTTTTATCCCCACTTGATCTCCTGGATGGTAAGAATGAACAGGTGGATATATGTTCACAGGTAACCTATCTTGTACCCATTTCTGTACTTCCAACATAGTTCTACCCAACTCTACAACCTGCTGCCGAGTAATTCCTTCTTTCACATAGCTACTACCATCCGTATAATACTGTACATCCGGGTCCTGAATGGGAAAGTCATGAAGGTCCGGTCGGCTTGAAAACACCTCATCCATTATCTCTAAACAATCATGTTGACTTTCATTACATTGTGGCAAAAGGGTAGCTGGATTCAGGGTATTAACAGTCTCAAGGTGTACTCTTGGATTTTCACATAACATGGCTTGATATTTAGTCATTCGACTGTTGCTAAACCAATGATTTCCCTTATAATCCAAGAGGGTCTGTACTGCATGAGGTACTCGCACGTGGAGTTCCTGTCCCAGTGTAAGCTTGTCAGCTTCTGCTACCAACAGGACAGCGGCGGTCACTGCTCGCAGACAAGGTGGAAGACCACTGGCCACTGCATCCAACTGTTTGGACATGTAAGCTACAGGTCTTTGCCATGATCCCAAATATTGAGTTAATACTCCCACAGCCATTCTTCTTTGCTCATGTACGTACAGATAGAAAGGACGTGTATGATCAGGTAGACCTAGGGCTGGGGCACTCATTAGTGCTTTCTTGATATCCTCAAATGCCTTCTGCTGTTCAGTAGTCCAGTAACCCAATGTTCTGTGCCTTTTATAGCCCCATATAAGGGTTTCGCCAATATTGCGTAATTAGGAATCCATATCCTGCAGAATCCTGCTGCTCCTAAGAATTCTCACACCTGTCTTCTATTCTTAGGTATTGGCATCTGACATACCGCTTCTTTCCTTTCGGGTCCATTATCCTTTGACCTTCAGAGATATGGAATCCTAAATACTTGACAGTTGACTAGCACAATTGCAGTTTCTTCCTAGATACTTTGTATCCTGCCTTCCAGAAAATTTGAAGTAGATCATAAGTTGCTTGTTGGCATATCTCTTTAGTAATTGCCGCTATCAACAAATCATCCACATACTGAAGTAATACACATTCTCCTGGGATGGACTTGAAATCTTGCAAATCCTGGCTTAATGCGGATCCAAATAGGGTGGGTGAATTCTTGAACCCTTGAGGTAATCTAGTCCAAGTCATCTGACGCTTTGAACCTGTAACAGCATCTTCCCATTGGAAGGCAAAGATACACTGACTTTCAGCAGCAATTCGAAGACAAAAGAAAGCATCCTTAAGATCTAAGACTGTAAAGTATGTTGCCCCACCTGGTATCAAGGCAAGCAGATTGTAAGGATTGGGTACAACTGGGTGTATATTAACTACCGCATCATTAACTGCTCTCAAATCCTGTACAGGACGATATTCGTCCTATCTTGGTTTTTGAACAGGTAATAATGGAGTGTTCCAGGAGGAAGTACAGAATTTTAGGATGCCATACCTTACGAACTTATCCAAGTAGGTCTGTATGTTTCTCTTTGCCTTTTGGGGTATATGGTACTGTCGTAGACTAACGGGATAGGCCCCAAGCTTCAACCCAATACGTATAGGTGGAATATTACGGGCAAGATTATTTTCTGCCCATACTCCTAGAATGTCAAATAGGGATTCATCACTCTTAGGATTTACACTTGTCATTATAGTATAGAAGCGCCATTCTTCTTCCCTTGGTACCGATATCGCCATTATGCCCGATGATCCCTTAAACTTCAGAGATGTTGATCCATTAGGTAAAAAGGTTATCTGGGCTTGAAGCTTTGATAATAAATCTCGTCCTAGAAGTTAGATTGGACACTCAGGCATATATAGAAATTGGTGCTTCACCAAATGGCCTCCCAGAATGCAAGTGTGACTCTTAAGAACCGGTCTAGCAGTGCTCTTCCCAGTAGCTCCTATCACAGTTATAGTCTTCCCCGAAGGCGGAGCCACCATCTTAGTCACCACAGAATGTTCAGCACCTGTGTCGATCATGAAAGGACTTCTCTTTCCCCCTATTGCTACATCGACCATAGGCTCTGCTTGACCAAGGGGGATGGAGCCGGTCGGTATCAATAGTCTTCCATGATAGTGTCAGCCTAACCCACAAAATCTCTATCCTCTCTTTCTCTAGGTCTCTGCTTGGGTGGATAGTATCTGTCTCCTTGAACACTTCCTCTACTATTCCCACCATTCCCTCTAAAACTTCCTCTTCCTCTATAATTCCCACTATAACCTCCTAGTACCCTTCTCTCTCCTTGTCTATCACCTTCATACTGCTCTCTCTGTGGACACTCACTCTTCCAATGTCCCTCCTTTCTACAATACGCACATTGATTCCTACTTAAAGGTCCCTTACTCAGCCTATTCTCGACTCCTTTATTCACTTCTCTTCCCTGTCTTTCTACACTTGTGATAGCTACCGCTAGCATATCTACCTTTTTCCTCATCTTACGTTCTTCCTCACGCTTTGTCTCAATTTCCCTATTCATATACACCTTATTTGCAACCTCCATTAGCTGTGATATGGATATCCCTGCAAATCCCTCTAATTTCTGTAATTTCCTTTTAATATCACCTTGGGCCTGGCTGACAAATGCTGAATTAATCATCCTAGAATTCTCAGGAGCCTTTGGATTAAAAGGAGTATACAACCTATATGACTCCAATAATCTCTCATAAAAGGTACTAGGTGACTCATCAACCTTTTGCAACACCTCAACCGTCTTTGACATATTGATTGCCTTCTTCCCTCCTTCCTTCATGCCAGCAATTATGGCTTCCCGATAAGCCCTTAGTTGGGGCATGTCAGTGCCATTTACGTTCCAAAGGTCAGTAATAATTGCTGACAATCAGCCCAGGTGGGATTGTGTGTTTGTATAATAGAGGGAACCAAATCTGTCATGGCTTGAAGCTTATCAGTGTATGAAGAATTATGTGTCTTCCAATTAAATAAGTCAGTCATAGTGAAAGGAAAACAAATACAGGGTCTGCATGTTGCAATTGACCATTATTGTCAACGTGTGCTGGGCCCGGTGTAAGTCGGAGAGGCATTTGGTAATGTCGGGGTTGGAGGGTACCAGTCATCTGTCGGGTTAATACAGGGCTTTGGCAAGGCTGCTCAGTAATAGGTTCCAGTCTGAGAGTAGTAAGATAGGTGGAAGGGGGTGAGCTAATTTTACTAGTCAGCATTTGGTGGATGAAATTTTTTTAAAAAGTGTTAAACCAAAAACCTACCAGTAGGTGTCACCAGAGGGTAATTGTATCAAAATAATCTTTATGGGTCTAATAATAAAACTTAACTTTTAATATATTTATACATAAAATAAAACCTTATAGCAATAAATATATTAAAATAGGATAAACAATCCTACTTCTGTCTGTTATATGCCAGTATAGCGTTAAAGATAATTATGCAATGTAATATCAATATAACTCCCGAAGATGGCCAGTAGGTGGCCCTAGAGTACCTCCCTAAAATCTTATGAAGCAGATAAACTGTAGTTATGTGCTTATTTTAGTTCTATGGTAAATTAAACATCTCAGTTTGTATTTTAGTAAAAGGGATATTTTGAACAAAGCTGGGAGGGGCCCATCCAGTAACTTAAAAAAGGATAAAGATGTACTCTAGCATCTTATACCATTGATCATTTCTTCCAGTTGTATTTTAGACTGTCACTGAATGATTGTCAGTAGTTGTCAGTAGTTTTAGTGCTATTTCAATGATTATGGTACAATGTCATTGTTGAGAATTATCTGATCCAATAGACTCAGTTAATGTTATTAAGAATTCTCCTCACAATTTAACTGTTAATAAAATTCAATGCTAAAATACACTCCTACCAAAAAGGAAGTCAAATCAAATTACAAATAACCAGTTTGTACAGAAATACAAGAGTTTGAAAGAAAAGAACAGATAGGTATGTAGGTAGGCGTGGGCAATAGAGTAGGGGGAGTGCAAATACCAGCTATACCAGTTTTGGGCTACTCTGGCTCTGGAGGATGAATTAGGGGTTGGTAATCAGAAGCAAGGGAGGGGGGGGAGGGGGGGGAGAGAGGTGTCCAAGCAGTTGTAATTAAGGTCTTAGTGGACAAACAGGTTCTGGCTACAATGGACTCCATTGTTCCTCTTAGCACAGCTTGTTCCATTTAGCAGTGTTTCAACAATCTGTATACAGAAACTACTCGTATAGCCCCAGCATATTATTTATAACACTGTAAACCTGCTGTATTAAATCTGGATCAAGGATCCACAGGAACACTGGTTACCAGAACAGGCCGTCCTCTGCTAAACAGAGTATTTTAATCTTTTGTGGGACAGTGTTACAACATATTTCTTAGAAAAGTTTTTTTTTTTTTGACACATACAAGACAAAGGACTGTTTGTGAATCAGAAGCACCCATAATTTCAACAGAGCGTCTGATTCAAAGCAGTACAAATATACAAACAGTTTCAACAGTCACACCAGTTACCTTAGCAACAGCACCACGTGGCACAGTTACTAGGCCAAACACATACCAAAAACACGAAGAGAATTCTCATACACACAGAGCGCTAACACGACGTCTTCACACACAAAAATTCACCAAACACTAGATACTCATCACTGTAACTATAAATCAAACCATGCAACCATCCATGCAGTAAATCAACTCTCAATTACCAGACTATAACACACTCCAGTAACATCATCTTTACAATCAGTAGTTATAGTACGGTTAGCAAGTGGTTATGGTACAGTTTTAGAATCACAGGTCGATTAGTAACAGTTATGGTGTTACACATATAACATCAAACAACAGATTGTTAGTAGTTATATACAATACAAAATGTCTGTAATTATAATACATGTTAGTGGTTATGGTACCGTGCACTATTATACAGTTATACACACAATTTACACTCCCACTAGACGGCAGAGCTCTAACTTTCTAGTAGGACATACAAGTTAACCAATTCACCAACTACAATATATTTAACAACATTTACAATAATCCCAACTATTCTAACTGGCCAGCACCTCGAGAGCTTTCGATCTATTTGTACACCAGAGATTCAATAAGTTCTTCGCTGCCCAGACACCATGTATAGCGAACTAGAGGGCAGAATTTACACCAATACCCTTTTACACTATAAATAATCTAGTGGCTGGATTTACAACAGAGCACACTTAGTTAAGATAGGGTGAAATCTAGCAAACTATAATATACAACAGAGTCTGCTTAGTTTCGCCAATCTCCCCGACCTAGCAACCAAAATTTACACCTAGCATGCTAGTCAAGGCAGGACATCGGTGTCCGACATGAGCTATTTACACCAGAACTCAGTCTGACAATACCACCTATATTAGACGGGCTGACTACAGAGCGTCTAATGTCCAGATAAGCGTTGCGCCTTCGCTTCTTCCTTCCAGAGGGAAGGGGCCAATTCCAATAACCAGTTCCAAATATAAAACCCCTTGTGGGTCTACCGCTCTAACTGTATCAGTCTTACCTGTTAGTTCCTGGACCTGGGTTCACACTCATCGACGGAACACCCCGGTACTCACTGCGCAGAAGCCAATGATCTCCTGGACAAAAGGCCAGTAGCGCCGAGACGAAAGGAGGTCCACGCAGAAGTCCAGGGGTGCTGTCGTGGAGAACGTTGGTAAAGATCTACCGTCTCACGTCTGTCTCAGCTACCGTGACGATGAGCTTCCCGGCCAATGCACCAGAGATGTAACCGTGTAAGTGTGCAGAAGCCGAACACAGAGAGATGGACACAGGTATTCAGGAAGAGGCCTTTATTCACATTACCGATCGGGTCTCAGATGAACTCCTGTTCCAAAATTCTGAGCACTGAATACATAGAGTACATTCCTTATATAGCACTGTAGCTCCTCCCATAATTAGCTACGCCCACACATACCCTTAACCTAATCAATTAATAGAGTCTAAACTCATCCATCCGGTCTAACCACGTGGCTCATGTGAAACAAAGGAGAGGGACGCGTAATTCCAGTTCCTGCATTCCTGCACATGCTCAGTACATTGATGACAGTATCTTAGCTACGTGTAACTAACTAACTGATACTACAAACACATGTACCTACATATGCCTTGTGGCAATCTTGGCCTGCTAAACTTTTATTTTACTGGAATTCCATCACACTTGGAGTCCTCAGGAAGCGCTAGGCGCATCCTTTAACGGAGGTACCCAGTCAGGGTGCCAGGTGATCCGTTACATTGGTGGCAAGCGGTGGGATGGCTTCCTAGCCTTGGGAAATCCAGCACTACTTCAGAGATGGAAGGCCGTGCAGTATCTCACTTTGACGCCAGGCTCCAGCAGCGACTACAGGATGTGATGCGCAGTATGGAGTATCCTATCCCAGATGAAAGAGAGACAGAGTGGAGGGTGGCGCTTCGTACCGATCTCTGGAAGGAAGACATCGACGAAATTCCACCCTTCCGGTGTGAGGAAATCCTGACCACTAACCAGCGCCAAGCAGAACAACTAGAGCTGCGGATGCTGTTATTGGGAAACCAGCCCTCAGAGGAATGGATAAGCGAACTGGAGACGCTAGTGGAGACTGAGGTGTGGCTGGATGATTCCTATCGGGCCCTGCGGTGGCATGTTTACCACCTCTACCCATGGCTGATTGAGTACAAGTGTATTGAGGGGGAAGACTACGATGGCCCTGGTTTGTTGTGGGATACTATTGAAACTAGTCTCTGGTTCGGATACAACCAACATTGCTCGGTTCTGGTCCATCCGAGCTGAGCGGGCAGACAACTGGGACCTTACGGAGATCGATGCCATTCAGCCAGATCTATCTTTTCTTGCCAACCGAGAGTGGGAACTAGAACAGGATTATGTTTGCCTATTCCAACGTATAACGCCGCCTGTCTCTGACATGAAGGGGCTTATTGACTGTATACCACCGAAAGCATTGAGTTTAGTTCCTCCTCCCCAGCAACCACATATGTCCCAACCAGCCCCAGAGATGGAAGACCTTATTGACTTGTCCTGGGAAGACACCCAGCTGGCAGGTGCAGATGGGACCGAGGTCTCTCAACAGGCCCTACATGGATGCTGGGCAGTCGGCCCAGATCCCCAGCGGCAGTATGTATCCCAGGGAGCTGAAGGTGCCGTCCTTCCTCCCCAGCGGCAGTGTGTGTCGTTAGGAGAGGAGACAGTTGGTCCCTCTCCCCAGCAGTTCAGTGAGTTACAGGTAGATGAAGGTGCCATCCTTCTTCCCCAGCGGCAGTGTGTCCTGCAGGAAGCGGAGACAGTCAGTCTCGCTCCCCAGCAGCAGGACAATATATTAAAAGGGGAGACAGTCGGTCTCCCCCTCCAACAGCAGAAAGAGTGTCAGGGAGAGGAGCTTGTTATCCCCTCTCCCCAGCGGCTGAAAGTATGTATGGGAGAGGAGCTTGTTACCCCCTCTCCCCAGCGGCTGAAAGTATGTATGGGAGAGGAGCTTGTTACCCCCTCTCCCCAGCGGCTGAAAGTATGTATGGGAGAGGAGCTTGTTACCCCCTCTCCCCAGCAGCTGAAAGTATGTATAGGAGAGGAGCTTGTTACCCCCTCTCCCCAGCAGCAGCTTAGCCCACCAAGGGGAGACAGTAATCTCCACAACAGTGCAGACGGGACCGTGGTCTCTGCACATGCACCACCGGGGGTAGGGACAGTCGGTCCTGTCCCCCAGCAGCAGGGCTGTTTATCCAAAGGGGAGACAGCCTGTCTTCCACTCCCACCCAGCAACCCATCGATCCAGAGCCAAGGTGGAGCTCCTGGACAAGCGACCCACTACTCCAGGTGTAGTAACCAATTTTCGTGGGTGCGTTATACTGCGGTTTCTGTTTTGTGGGTGGGTTGCTTGGCTAACCAAGGCACTGACCGACAGGAGGTCAGATACCTTGTTAGTCTTTTTGGGAAAGGGGAGAAATGTGGCGAAACCGACATCGCCACTGGGCATTGGAGAAGACTGATTGCCAGCCTCCTGCCATGTGACTATGGCCCCTGGGATGTATTGCCCTTTAAAGACATGATTTGGGCATAATGGATTTGTGTTGTGCTGCTGCTGGCCCTTTAAGAACCATCTGGGGACATACTGTGGAGTTACTGGGTGGTCACCATTTCCTGTATCAGAGGCACATGGTGAGAACAATGGATGAAGCACATGGTGAGAACAATGGATGGCGGCCATTTTAACTCACAGACACTGTTTGGACTTTTCAACACGGTGTCATCTCGCCAGTATTTGGTGCACAGAGACATTGTGCAGTGGTTTTGGACTATACAACATTTTGGTGCACAGAGACATTATACAGTGATTGTTTTTCATTTAACCTGTATATGTTCTGCAGAATCTGCATTAAACTGTATCTTCCAAAGTACTGAACGGATCTGGGTGAATTTTGGATATGTGGTTCACCCAGATCCCCCGGTTCCAAGGATATACTTTTTATATACTTTTTATGGGGTTATTGCATGTTTTGGGGTCCCTGTGATGTGTTTTATGAAACTGTATTTCTCTGTCTGTGATAATTAGATTACCCTTTGTGTAAGGTAATTGTATTACAGGCAGAGGGGAGGATTTTGTGTGGGAGTGTCTGTGTGTATTTTATAGATTGATTGGTTGTTCTGTAAAACCCTGTGGGCAGTACTAAATTTGTGGATTGGGAATAAAAGAGGCTGTATGTGCCAGTACAGTGAGTTCCTGTTTTAACCCTCAAAGTGAAGTGTTGTCTCATTACTGGGGAAAGGATTTATTGTATGCTGTTCCAGTTTGACTGCTAGGAGAGTAAACCTATTCGTATGGTTCCTATTCAACTGTCTACAGCATTCATATGCTTGAGAGGATTCATATGCTTCTCCGGTTCGGTGGTTGTGGTGTCTGCTGCAGTGCTTGGAGTCCTCAGGAAGCGCTAGGAGTATCCTTTAACGGAGGTACCCAGTCGGGGTGCCAGGTGATCCGTTACACTAACTTTTTGTTTTTTTACTATTTTGGCCACATCTGCGGAGTACCACAGTGGTTTCTTACATTTTTTGCTTTTACTGACAAGCCTAATGCAATTTTCTGTTGCCTTTAGCAGTGCAACGTTTAAATAATCCCATTTCTCTTGCACTACATTTAAATTGCTCCAATCTGATAATGACTCCTTTACGCATATTCTAATTTTAGAAAAGTCTGTTTTTCTAAAGTCTAAAACTTTTGTTTTTGTGTGGTGTGACTCAGTCACTGTTCTTATATTAAACCACACTGACTGATGATCACGGGATCCTAAATTTTCACCTACAGTAATATCTGATACCAAATCTCCATTTGTAAACACTAAATCTAGTATGGCCTCCTTACAAGTTGGTTCCCCAACGAGTTGTTTTAGAGACAATCCCAGTAGGGAGTTTAGAATATGTGTGCTCCTGGCACAAGCAGCTATTTTGGATTTCCAGTTAACATCAGGAAGATTAAAGTCACCCATGATGATAACTTCCCTCTTCATTGTCATTTTAGCCTTTTCCTCAGCTAGTAGATTATCTAACTCTTCTATTTGTCCTGGGGGACGTAAATCACACCTACACGAGTTACTGTGTGATTACCAAATTCTAACTTAACCTCTATGTTCGCCTCACTAACTTTTATTAGGCTAGATTTTATGCTATCCTTCACATACAGGACCATCCCTCCCCCTTTCTTGCCTTCCCTGTCTTTTCTATATAAAGAGTACCCTGGTATTGCTATGTCCCAGTCATTTTTCTCATTATACCATATCTCAGTAACATCAACTAAATCTACATTCTCAGTTGCCATTATTGCCACAAGTTCATGGATCTTATTCCCTAAACTGTGAGCATTTGTAGACATGACTCTAAGCTTATCATTTTTTAACACACTTGCTACAGGCACCTTCTGTCCTTGTTTTGGGGGACAATTGGATTGATGTTTTATCACCCTTTTGCCCCCCACCTCCTAGTTTAAATACTTCCTAGCAAAATCTCTGAACTGCTCACTGAGAACATTTGTTCCCTTTTGAGAAAGATGCAAACCATCTTTTTTGTACAGTTCATTTCTATTCCAAATAGAGCTACCATGAGAAACAAAGCCAAATCCTTGCTCCCGACACCATTCACCAAGCCACAAGTTAAAGTCCCTAATACGCATCCGCCTGTCACTTCTGAGTGTTATGCACAGGCAGAACTTCAGAGAATGACAGTGTGGAAGCAACCTGCCGTATATCATTGGCAAGAACACAAAATCCTTCCTTTACCTCAGAAACCTCATTACAAGCCAAATCATTTGTCCAAGATGGACAAGTACCTCTAATTCCCTTTCCTGCTTTGTTTGCTTAACAATATTACAAATATGTCTCCTGTCTCTGTGACCAGTAGCTCCAGGAAGACATCTAACAAAGCCACTATTGTTCAACTCTACACCTCTTAAAGGACCACTATAGGCACCCAGACCACTTCAGCTTAATGAAGTGGTCTGGGTGCCAGGTCCAGCTAGGGTTAACCCTTTTTTCTATAAACATAGCAGTTTCAGAGAAACTGCTATCTTTATAAATGGGTTAATCCAGCCTCTAGTGGCTGTCTCATTGACAGCCGCTAGAGGGCTTCCGCGCTTCTCACTGTGATTTTCACAGTGAGAAGACGCCAGCGTCCATAGGAAAGCATTGTGAATGCTTTCCTATGGACTGGATGAATGCGCGCGCGGCTCCTGCTGCGCATGCGCATTCAGCCGAAGAGGAGGAGGAGAGCTCCCCGCCCGGTGCTGGAGAAAGAGGTAAGTTTAACCCCTTCCTCACCCTAGAGCCCGGCGAGAAGGGGACCCTGAGGGTGGGGGCACCCTCAGGGCACCATAGTGCCAGGAAAAAGAGTATGAGTAAGATAGAATCCCCTAACAACAACTGTTTTCGATCAGGCCTCACCTTGTCCCTTTTGTCTTGGGGTGCACTCTTGCTCACTTTAGGAATAGAGGATGGTGGTTGCCTGAGCCTTTCTCCGTAACACCACTAAAATCTGAAAGTGCAGAAAATGAATTATGTAAAGACACAGACTGTGCAATATGCCTTTTGTCCACATCTCTATGTCTACCAGATCCTAAAGTAATCTATCTGCCATTCCTAGGACATCTCTGCGGCAGTGGGTTTGCAACAGTCCCAGCCTGAGATTGTTTAACAGATAATTTACAAATCTCCGACTTCAAAAATGCAATCTCCTGCTGCAATATAGAGAACTGTCTACAGATTACACAACAACCAAACCTCCAAAAAGTGAAACAAATGTACAACAACTATTACACTGAAACAAGTCTGCCATTTTAATGAGATGAGGGGTTTAAATCAAACAAATCTTACTTTTTGTTTCTTTTTTTTTTTTTTTCACGTTCTGTGTACCTCAGACTAATTCCAGTTTATCTCCAAATGCACTTTGTAGCAGCACTTAGAAGCAGCTGCCAAGCTCTATTACACACACACAGAAGCACACTAACATATATATACACACAGTCACACACTCATACATACACTCACACACATACATACACACACACATACAAACACTCACACACAAGTGAATTTTTTTTTTTTTAATCTCCAGCCACCTTCCTGTTAGCTTACCTTGTGTGTCCAGGAGGGTGGCTTGGAGTCCTGCTTGCTTGGGGGAGTAAAGGGGTCTGGAGCTCTTCGTGCTCCTCCCCCCTCATGCTGCGAATGCCTTCTCCCGCGCTGTCTCCCTGCAGGATGCTGGGAGGAAGTGACAGGTCCTCCCAGCCAGCCGACATTACAGGGTTGGGAGCCGCGGTCCTTTAAGGCCGCAACTGGGCCCCTGTTCAGCAGTAATGCTTCACCGGTGCTATGAAACATTCCGCGGCACCCCTGTGTGCACGTTGCGGCGTTTGGGAACTGCTGCCTTAACACCTTTCCGACTTACTAGATCCGTCCAAAAAAGTGGTCCTTAAGGACCGTGGACGTATCTAGTATGTCCGCGGCATTCTTGCTTACTTACCGGATCGCCGCCGTTCCCCTGCCGGCTTTCAGTGTTGCACATATATATATATATATATACATACACACACACATATATATATATATATATATCTTATATACGTCATACTAAGTGTATTTTTTTTTATTAATATATACATATAGAAATACACTTAGAGTAAAATTACACACGTAAATATAATAACTTTATATATATTATAAAAAAATGTATATTTAAAATAAACAAGATGTAAAAATAATTTGAAATTTTTTTTACAAAAATTATATATATATGTAATTTTAATTTAATGTTGAAAAATGCAAAGTTATGCACTTTGGCGTAAAGAATACACAAGCAACGTATACCCTTAATGGAAGCGAATTAGGTATAACACACGAAAAGGACTTGGGAATTGTTATAGACAACAAACTATGCAACAATGTGCAATGTCAATCAGCAGTGGCCAAGGCCAGTAAGGTATTGTTATGCCTGAAAAAGGGCATTCATTCTCGAGACGAGAATATTATTGTGCCTTTTTATAAATCACTGTAAGACCACATCTTGAATATGCTGTGCAATTTTGGGCATCTGTTCTAAAGAAGGATATTATGGCACTAGAAAAAGTGCAGAGGCGGGCTACAAAATTAATAAAAGGAATGGAACATCTCAGCTATGAAGAAAGGTTAACAAATTTAAACCTATTTAGTTTAGAAAAATGTTGCCTGAGAGGGGATATGATAACATTATACAAACCATTGTGTGGAAATCTATTCACAAACCGGACTTTACATAGGACACGAGGTCATGCGTTTAGACTGGAAGAAAGAAGATTTCGTCTAAGGCAAAGGAAAGGTTTTTTTACTGTAAGAACAATAAGGATGTGAAATTCTCTGCCTGAAGAAGTGGTTCTATCAGAGTCCATACAGATGTTCAAACAGCTACTAGATGCATACTTGCAAAAACAGAATATTCAAGGATATAATCTTTCAATGTAGGGTAATAACGGCTTGATCCAAGGATAGATTTGACTGCCATTCTGGGGTCAAGAAGGAATTTTTTTCCTAGCTTGTTGTAAAATTGGAAGTGCTTCAAACTTGTTTTTTTTGCCTTCTTTTGGATCAACAGCAAAAAAAACAAATGCGAGGAAGGCTGAACTTGATGGACGCAAGTCTCTTTTCAGCAATGTAACTATGTAATTTTTTTCTAACTGTATTTTGATATTAAAATATTTATATCAAAATACACTTAGAATGAAATTGATAAATAACTAGTGATAAATTTAAAAAATATATATTTTGAAACAGCAATGTCCTAGTTGTACTGATAGCCCTTTAACCTGCAAAAAAGCTAAGAACATGTTAACATTGGGTATTTCTAAACTCAGGACAAAATTTAGAAACTATTTAGCATAGGTGTTTTTTGGCGGTTATAGATGCGCACCAGATTTTGGGGGTCAAAGTTAGAAAGAGTGTGTGTTTTTTTTTTTTTTATCATATTTTATAAAAAAAAAAATTAGTAAAATATATAGTTAAAATTGAAAAACGGTCTGGTCACTAAGGGGTTAAGGACAGAGTCAATTGTACAAGTTGTGATCAAAACAAAACCTGGAATTTGCGCTATATCTCTGTTCAACCATAAGTCACCTCTTTCATATTAAGTGCACCCACCCTTATTATATATCATTTTGTTCAGGAGAAAGTGGGCTTTCATTTCACATCAAATATTTATATATGAAACCTTATTTAATATGAAAAGAATTTTCAAAAACTTTGAGAAATTAAGTAATTTTGTTATTTTTCAAGTTCTGCATGGCATTTTAACTGTCATAATCCTCAGTGGTGTATTCTTGATTTGTGCTGCTCTAGGCATGACTAAATTCGGGTACCCCCCTAATCTTAATTTGCCCCACCACTTTGTATTAAAGCCACTTTTTTGACTGACAGACACATGCCCTCATTGACACATGCACTGACATACACTCACTGACAGATACAGAGGCATTAGCACACATGTACAGTCATTGGCACACACTGTTTAAACAACCCACACTTTCACTGACAGACACACGCTGACACACCCACTCACTGACAGGCACACACTCTCAGATACACATACACTCACTGACTCAAACATCCTCACCGATTTGACACACTCTGACAGACACACACATTCACTCACTCATAGACACACACTGACAGCTACATACATACTCACGGACACACACACACACTGACAGACACACACACACACTGACACATACACTGACAGACACACACACACTCACTGACAGACACACACTGACAGACACACACACACATTTTCTCATCCGCTGACCAATTATTTTTTTATTATTTAAATCCACCCAACCTCCCTACATTTCGGAGAGCTGGAGTGGATCCTGTCCCTGACTGCTGCTGGGCTGGCTGCTTGCTGGGGCTGCTGGCAGGCTCCTTCTGGCTCGGCTGCTGGCAGACGCTAAATGGAGGCAGCGAGGGAATGGAGCTTTTCCTGCCAGGGGCCAGAGTGACGTCATTTTCCAGATCCCGGCATCAAAGAAGGGCGAGCGAGGGAGCAGGAAGAACTCAGAGGACTGCTCTCCCTCCCCGCCTACCACACGCTGAGTGTCTGAACACATTCGGGGGCCCTCCGTGCCGTCTGCCTGGATGGAGAGCATCTACCGCAGACACCGGTCTGCAGCTCTGCACCCATGTTGTCTCGTGAGATGTGGAAGAGTCAGAGCGTTGCTGCGAGTTACCACAGCAATGCTCTGACTCTTCCAGATCTCGCGAGATACACTGTCTGCAGCTCTGCACCCGGCGGAGCTGCAGATCGGATATGACCACAAGGGAACCCACCACCTGACCACCAGGAAGCCGACCGGAAACTGGACCACCAGGGAACTAATTACTAACGAAAAGGTATTTCACCCACAAAAAGTGTGTCACCCACACTACAATGTAATGTTATCCACCCCACAAATCCTGTCACCCCCCACACACATCCTATCAGGCTAAATGGAGGCAGCGAGGGAACGGAGCTCTTCCTGCCAGGGGCCGGAATTACGTCATATTCCAGATCCTGGCATCAAAGAAGGGCATGCGAGGGAGCAGGAAGAACTCAGAGGACTGCTCTCCCTCCCCCCAGCCACATGCTGAGTGTCTAAATGCATTGGGGGGCCCACCGTGCCGTCTGCCTGGAAGGAGAGCATCTACCGCAGACACCGGTCTGCAGCTCTGCACCCATGTGTCTTGTGAGATCTGGAAGAGTCAGAGTGTTGCTGCGAGTTACCACAGCAATGCTCTGACTCTTTCAGATCTCGCAAGACACATGGTCTGCAGCTGCAAACCGGATATGACCACCAGAGAGCCCACCACCTGACCACCAGGGAGCCGAACGGAAACTGGACCACCCAGGGAACTAATTACTAACTAAAAGGTATTTCACCCACAAAAAGTGTGTCACCCACACTACAATGTAGTGTCATCCACCCCACAAATCCTGTCGCAACAATGAATACAGAGACTAACTCCCCTTATCCAGCACTGCAAGTCCACCTTTCAATATAACAACTGCTCCTTATACACACAAAATGTAACCCCTATTTTTTCACTTTGGGTGTTAGTGAGTGCCCTAAGGCCTCACAAAGTCTAGAGCTGCCATTGTGTATGGCAGCCCAGGAATGAAAATTACCTCCATCATGGCATACCATTCCAAATGGGGTATCTCCAGTCTTTTTTAGTAGCCACTTAGTCACAAACCCTGGCCAAATTTAGCATTCATAATACAATAAAAGGGTCCTGTTCACTGATAATATTGTTATTTTAAGATTTACTGCTCTAAAACACTCATATTTGTGTTCAGCGATGTCTCACGAGTAAAACAGTACCCTCCTGTGAAGGTTTTATGGGGTTTTGGAAAGTTAAACATTGCTCTTTCACTGATGATATCATTGTCAGCATAGGTTTTACAGCATAGGTTTTACTGCTCTAACACTCATTCATATTCAGGGATTCCTCACGGATAAAACAGTAGCCCCCATATACAGGTTTTATGGGGTTTTGGAAAGTTATAGGGACAAATATAGGGTTTTCCCATTTCAGTTTGCTGAGCCTATGTTGCCTTTGAGACCATATGTCAGCCAAGGAATGAGAATTACCCCCATGATGGCATTCTATTCAAAAAAGTAGACAACCCAGGGTATTCAGAATTGAGTAAGTCCAGTCTTTTGTAGTAGCCACTTAGTCACAAATGCTAGCCAAAGTTATAGTTTTTATATATATAAATCTATAAATACATATTTTTTTTGCATTTTTTCACACAAAAACTGCACTTTCACCAATATCATCATCATCATTACAAGTTTTAGTGTTTTAAAACACTCATATTTGTGTTCAGGGAAGTCTCCTGGGTACAACAAATCCCCCCTATGTACAGGTTTTATAGTGTTTTGGAAAGTTACAGGGTTAAATATAGGGCTTGTAAACTAAATTCAATAGACTTTCTGCCTGAGTTGTCACGCAGTTCCCTTGAATTATGTGTGTATCCATGTTTATTGAGGATTTTTTTATTGTAGTTGCCTTTCTTGCTTTCAGAGGTTAAATAGCACAATGGCACTGAAAGGGTTAACTTTGAAACGCCAAAACAGCTTGCTCCGGGCAATTTCTCAACTTGCGGTCATTTCACAATTCGGTGCATAATTAAATGTGCTGTTGTGACATTCCGGGTATTCTGTCCCCGCCATTAATTGTTCCCCATCAAACAAACCTCTTCTTGTCACAGTTTGCCAAATAAACTATCCAGAATTAGGAAAACTGATAAGACGCCAGACAGGAAGAAGTCTATTAGCAGGTATTAGTTTGGAGTATTTTAAAGCAGTTATTAACTTGACAGGCGCAATCGACACTCTACTACCACCGAAACAATTTCCAGACCAAGCAAAGACGTGCGGTAGGATTCCCGCGACCGTAAGGTATGTCCACAACGGCTCAGCCCAGCCGAGCCCACATGGCAAGCTATGTTACAGATAATGTACTAAGGAACCCCTTTCTGATTCCTCTTTCACCTCCCACTCCCAGGCGGATCCAACTTCCCGAAGTAGGAACATGAATGGAACTGCCCCTTGGCAAGTAGAGGTTACCAATGGGAACCTGCAAACATGCAACCCAAAAGATGGAAGGGTCGCCAATAATCAAACACGTCCTGTTCCCCCAAACCGACTCGACGGCAAGGCCGAATGATGCCAACGATACAGAACAGTTCCGCGGCTATGTCCTCATTTACTGATGCCCCTTTTGGGTGTGATAAGTTTTGTATCGGACGGAATTTGCCCGCCCATTTCTAGGGGACCACCCCCCATGGAGACACCCACAGGTCCGCTAATGGCGTGGAAGTTCCCCCATGGACTTGATATTTGCCCACCACTTTTCCTGGTCCCTCGACTTTGAATGGAATAGCGTAAACCCCCTCAACAATCCCAGCCATAAAACTAGCGCATTCATGGGAGGCTTACTGCCTTAGCCACAGCAGCAATGCACTGATCATCACTGGTGTCGCTCCAAGCCGCAACCGCTGGGCCGAAGCCCTGCCGAGTACCCTTCCTGCCTTAGGTTTTCCTTTCTTGACGCGTCAGTTGACACCGTGACTCCCACCGCCTGCGGAACACCCGTATCGAAGCCTACCCGACGGTCCCCAGTTGCACTGACCTTTTTTCTGTCCAGCCAGCACCGCACCTCCTGGGGGTGCGCCGGCAGCCCCCAGAAAGAGCGCATTTCCTGCACTATCATTAGGAACCTCCCCTTTTAAATCAATGAACTCCTCGAGCGGAAGACAGGAAATTTTTTTTTTTTTTTTAAATCCCCTTTATCAAATCATATCCTCCGCCTTCAAGTGCCCCCCCAATGTCCCCGCGAAGGACACATGCCCATTTTGTTGTGCCGCGCCTGGAATATTGCCACACATCTAACTGTTCTCCTGCCCCGTCAGATGTCACCGGCACAATGTATTCCCCTTCCCTTACCCGGCACTAGGGATCGACCGATATTGAATTTTTAGAGCCGATACCGATACCGATATTCTGTGAACTTTCAGGCCGATAGCCGATATAATTTGCCGATATTCTGTACATTTACCATTTTGGAAAATAAAAACTATTTCTAAAGGTAAATGCACAAAATATACATGCCACATGTAGTGGATGCAGTGTGTTTAGACAGGGGAGCTGTGTGTGTTTGTGTAGTGTGTGTGTGTAGTGGATGCATTGTGTGTTTGTGTAGTGTGTGTTGAGGATGCAATGTGTGTTTGTGTAGTGGATGCAGTGTGTATTTGTCGAGTGTGTGTAGTGGATGCAGTGTGTATTAGTGTAGTGTGTATATAATGAAAGCAGAGTGTTTGTGTAGTGTGAGGGTAGTGTGCATAAAGTGAATGCTGTATATACTAAATGCAAAGTGTGTGTGTATATAATGAATGCAGAGTGTGTGTGTATTTGTGTAGTGTGTGTGTATAGTGAATGTAGTGTGTTTAAATAATGCAGAGTGTGTGTGTTTGTATAGTGTGTGTATATAATGCAGTGTGTTTGTGTAGTGTGCATTATATAAACACACTACACAAACACACTGCATTAGATACACAAACTATGCAAACACACTGCATTATATACACACACTACACAAACACACTGCATTATATAAACACACTACACAAACACACACTGCATTATATAAACACACTACACAAACACACTGCATTATATACAGTGTGTTTGTGTAGTGTGTGTGTATATAATGCAGTGTGTGTACATAATGCAGTGTTTGTGTGTAGTGTGTGTGTATATAATACAGTGTGTGTGTAGTGTGTGTATATAATGCAGTGTGTTTGTATAGTGTGTGTATATAATGCAGTGTGTGTATTTGTGTGCATTGTATACACTGTGATAAAGTGAAGGCAGATAGGCCTTTTAACCCCAGGGGGAGTATGTGTAGTTTGTGTGTTGCACAACACAAAGCATTGTTTAGTTATGGGCCCCTGGGGTGGAGCATTTGGAGAGAAGGGTGGGCCAATGCTCCACTCCACAGTTTAGTGGTGTTCTGGGGAGACCTAGATCCAGGCCAGGGTTTTTTGGATCGTCTCCAACCCACTGCTCAGCTGCAGGTAATCAGCTGTTGCAGTGGGAATAAACTCCTCCCGGCTAGGCAGGTAAAGGAGAGGGATTGCTGGCTTCCTCCCAGGAAGCAGGTAGGAGAGAGAGGCTGTTCTCTCCAGATAGTCAAGGAGACTAGGCACTTGGAGTGCAGAAAGGAAGCAGTCAGGGCAAGACTGGCTTGGAGCACTGGGAGTGCAGAAAAGAAAGCAGTCAGGGCAAGGCTGGATTGGAGCACTGGGAGTGCAGAAAGCAAAGCAGTCAGGGCAAGGCTGGCTTGGAGCACTGGGAGTGCAGAAAGGAAAGCAACAGGTTAGATAGCAGAGCGTTGCTCTCTAATAAGGTTGGTGCAATATTGTGTTTAGTTTAACCCTGAGAGATAGGGAACTAATGTCAGTTAGTGCTCAGACGAGCTAGGTGTTTGTTTATAGGGTTTTCTGTTACTTTTGTTTTTCTTTTACTGCTGTATCCTGTGTGGATTTACAAATAAAGTGCCTGAGTATATGCAATTACAAGGACTGTGCATGTTTTTACCCTAGAGGGCCGTGCTACCTGCCGACAAGGATCACAACACCCACACACACACTATACAAACACACTGCATTATATACACACACAGCATTATATACACACACTACACAAACACACTGCATTATATACAGTGTGTGTGTGTGTGTGTATATAATGCAGTGTGTGTTTGTATAGTGTGTGTGTATATAATGCAGTGTTTGTGTGTAGTGTGTGTGTGTATATAATACAGTGTTTGTATAGTGTGTGTGTATATAATGCAGTGTGTGTGTATATAATACAGTGTGTTTGTATAGTGTGTGTATATAATGCAGTGTGTGTATTTGTGTGCATTGTATACACAGTGTGTTTGTGTAGTGTATGTGTATATAATGGAGTGTGTGTGAGGGGGCATTTTTTATTAAATTATTATTATTATTATTATTATTATTTTAGATTTAATTTTTTTTGTTGTCCCCCCTCCCTGCTTGTTGCCTGGTCAGGGAGGGGGGATATGACAGTCCCTGGTGGTCCAGTGGCATTGGCTGAGCTGGGGGGAGCGGGCATCAAGCGCTTACTCACCTCCCAGCAGCTCCTCCAGCTCCCCAGTGCAACGCTCTGACGGCAGCGGGTCTCGCGAGAGTTACACTGGGGAGCTGGAGGAACTGCTGGGAGGTGAGTAAGCGCTTGATGCCCGCTCCCCCCAGGACCGCCGGACTTGAAATGAGCCTGGCGGTCCTAGGAGGTATTATCGGCAATATCGGTATCTGAATTGGCCGATACCGATATTGCCGAAAATACCGAATATCGGCCGATTATATCGGTAAAACCGATAATCGGTCGATCCCTACCCGGCACGCCGTCACCACCACCCTTACTTCGGCCTCCCGACTGCGCTCTGGTGACCCTACCCTTCCGCACCGCGGGGACGGCCCCTTTTTTCCTTGATCATGATTCTAAAATGATTTTTGCAATTTAAAAAAAAAAAGTGGTGTGTTTATTGACTCACCGCCCGAACCCCCGTCTGCGCTGTCCTTCCATCCACCTTGCCAGGCTCTGGAGTATCCGGTGGACGACGACTCCTGTCCGCGCTGGTCCAGCATCAAGCCCGTAGAAGTAACACTCCTCGACCTGCTCCTCCATCCCTCATCCGACCTCCCGCTGCTGCTGTGCCTGTCATTGTTGTTGTGCTGCTCCCTCCCATACTCACACCTGCTGATGCTCCTCCTGTGTTCCTGCTCCTGAGAACGCCCCCCAGGGGGCTCCCGCTTGCCTCTGTGCCTTACGTCAATTTCCACCCGTCCATGTCCTCTCTTCTGCCCTCTGCTTGCGGTACCTGGCCTCTCCCCGGCCCCTCATCCACTTGTGGCCCCTTTAATTAATCCTGGTTGCTGGCCTTCCCCTCCATAGCTGCTCTGCTGTGCCTGCTGCTTTCACTATCCCCTTCCTTCACCTCTGACCTGACCTTGGCCCCATCCAGGGCCGCCTCCGACTGTGTCCCGCCAACCTGGACCCCCCCCGCCTGCCCATTGGGGGGGGGGACCGCTTTTACACTGCTGGGCCCTTGCATCATTCCCCCCGTCCCTCAGGTATGCCACCAGGGGCAGACTCACCTGGACGCCTCTTGCCGCTCTCCCTGCCTGGCGGCCATCATGTCATGCTGGATTCCGATGTCCTTTGTGCTTTCCCGCCCCCCCGCCTTATTGCAAGGGGCGCTCTTCCTGTGCGGCCTCATCCTGACCTGCCACCTTGCCTGACCAGCGCCTCGTCGAACATACGGCGCCAGCCGCCCTCCAACTCCTGCCTGCTTTCCGACCTCATTTTCAGCCTTCCCCTTGACACCTCCTGACAGGCTCACGGGCTGCCGAACTAACAATGTCACTCACAGGCTGCCGCTGGGGCGTCCTCGTTCTCCTTGCTGGTCTCTGTTCCACCGCCGCGTGGGGGGGGGGGATAGCAGACGTGCTCGGGGCCCCCCAGCTGCTTGGAGTTCTGTCTGAGGCTGATGGGATTGAGCATGCAGCAGCAGCAGCTCACTCCAGCCTCTCCTGTACCTCCATGCTTCCTCCTGTACCTCCATGCTGCCTCTGTTCTTCATGCTGCTGATGGGAGTGATCATGTAGTAGCAGCTCACTCCAGCCTCTCCTGTATCTCCATGCTGCCTCCTGTCTCAGTACTGCCTGTTCTTCTATGCTGCCTCCATGCTGCCTGTTCTTCTATGATGCCTCCATGCTGCTGATGGGAGTGATCATGTAGTAGCAGCTCACTCCAGCCTCTCCTGTACCTCCATGCTGTCTCCTGTATCTCCATGCTGCCTGTTCTTCTATGCTGCCTCCATGCTGCTGCCTTCTCCCTCCAGGGAAGGCTGCTTTCACAACTGACAGGTAAGCCTAGGTTCAGTTAAAATGGCCACTTCCTATAATGGCTGGTATAAATACTCCCCTTATGGCTCCGCCCTACCCAGCATGCTAGCTGTCACTAAATTCCTGTGGCTGCTATGCCTACCTCCTGGCTCTGTCAAGGCCTATTCCTCTTAGCTGCGCTGATCCATGGGCTACAGAACTGGGAATTGGTGACAAGTGGAAAGACAATCACAGATCGGATGTTTTTTAGGATTCACAGCAGCACAAGATAGACGTAAGCTGTGCAGAGCCCGGTATAGAGAGCTAGGAAAGTGTCCTAGCTCTGCATTCATGGGCTAAGATGTAATAAGACTGTTTCTGGGTGAGCAATCTGTAGTGTACATGGTTGAAGGGGTCCCACGCCAAGGCCAAGTTCTCCCTGCTGACATGATTCCCTCTCACTGCAGGGAGAGGGACATCCTGGAGTGACCGTCTGAGTGTCACCAATGGTCACTTGTCCCCAGCATGCTATGCGTGCTGACAAGAGATAGCAAATATGCACAGATTTAATATTAGAAGTTACACCCCCAGCAGCACTGGGCTGGAGCTCTGTATTTCAGACTGAAACATTGCACATATAGATTCCGCTTCAAATCACTGAAGTGGTCATGGTGCCTAGAGTCAGGGTTGGTGCAAGAATTTTTAGGTACACAGACGGAGATGCATTTTGCCCCACCCCCATCACCCCCTTCATGTATACAGATTGACCTTCCCTTCACATGTTGTAGTGTTGTCTCAATCAAAATAATGAAATTACATCAAAACAGGTCGTCGCAAGTGGGGACAATGCTAAAACAAAACATTATAGTTGGATAAAGCAAGCAATAAAATATGACTAGAATTTATTTTTTTTAGACATTATCATGCTAAACATTTTAACAAGACGTAATACGTGGTGTTTTATTTCCAATGGCCAATTTTTAAAAAATTTTTTTTCTTATCTAAACCTAGTGAGTTATCTTTACAAATAGTGCAACAAATGCTAATGCTGGTATTTGATTATGGGAATATAGTGTATACACCCGCACCGCAAACCCACCTTAATAAACGTAATATGTTATATGGTTAGTTCTGCCGCTTTGTACTAGAATGTAATTACTTTACCCACCACTGTGACATATTAAAAGAGCTAAATTGGTTTCGATGGAATCCCGACGCACTCTTCATCTCTCCAGTGTTGTGCATAAGAGCTTTTCTGTGAAGCTCCCAGCCTGCCTGAGTAGAATGCTCACCCCGGCTGTTCCCACCTCCTATAACTTTCGATCCAGTACTAGCACGATATTTAGCATACCGCAATACAAAAATAAAGTGGCTCGATCCTCCTTTTCCTTCAGAGCACCGCAATTATGGAATAACCTCAGGGACACAGTCAAATCTTCATTCAATCTAAAATCTTTTAAGAGATCTGTGGTAATATACTTCAGCACAGAATGCACCTGTCATGGTTGAATATATTTATTACCTGTTATGTTATTTATATATGTGTGTATGTATATACTGTTTTGTGGACCCAGGACATACTTGAAAACAAGCGAAATCTCAATGTGTATCCATCCTGGTAAAATATTTTATAAATAAATAAATATGAACCACCCAGATAACGTGACTATAACAATAACAGTGCCTCTGTTTTCACCATGTAGATACATAAACATACCTGTGTATTTAGGAGGTAAATTATCAATGTGCTTGTTTCTGGGGCTCATACTTATAAGGCACGTCTGCATAACCCTTCGGCTAGCTTTGCTCCTCGAGAAACTTACACAAACTTAAAAACATCGGAGGGGTGGACTGAGTAGAGGGATTAAATTGTCTCTGAGCTGTTCTGGAATATGGTTGTGGCTTTACGTTCAGCTAATGGGAGGGAAAAAGGTGCAGTTTATTCTGTTCCGGTGTCAGGGATGTTACCATTTAACAATGTAAGTCCTTTGCATATACTTCCCCATTCTGTTACCATGTTCAAATCACACGTACTCAGCCACCCACCTCTATGCATTAAAAAAATGCATTCCCCCCCAGGACTGTAGAAATCGGCGGTAGCCATCCAGCCGAGACATTCGAAGGTTGCCAGTAAGTAAGGAAGTCAGTTACTATAGATAAACTGGGATAGGAAGTGTTTGTCTGTAAAGCATCGTTGATTTTGAGACTGTTGTTTAAACGCGTGGAAAGTATAGCACGTGGAAGCTAATATCTGCAAACTAATGGCCATCAGTATTATTTATTAGTGTGGGAATTCAAAGAGAATTTAATATTGAATGCCAAAATAGAACAATTGAAACCTCGGCTGATTTGGAGAATGTTTCCTGATTTGCCTATTTTTCCTAGGAAGCCTCAAAAGTGAAATATGCAGTTAGATGAAAATATTTTTACATTTTTAATTCAGTTTAATGTTTACATTTTTTTCACTTTTCAAAAGGAAGGCTTTTGGAAATGGTGTTTGTAGTTTTGCATACAGCTAATCCAGGGAGCTGTATTTAGTGCGTCAGTAAGAACTTTATTTATAAATTGTGTCCACTGTCTTAACCGAAATGTAAGACTGTAGGGGGTGAATTGCACACGGCGTCTGCAAATGCTTTCAGTTTAAAACCTTATTTCAACCACTATCACAACTACTGCTTTTACAAGTGGTCATGGAGATCTATCTGTGCAGCAAATCTGTTTGGAAAACTGCCTATACAGAGAAATCTGTGTATTTGTTAAAGTGTGTAGTTACATGTCTGTCGTCAGCACACACTAAGCTTCTTCCCCTGCAGGCAGCGCTTTGAGCACACCTTCTAGAAGGAGGACCTGAAATTTTGGCTCCCGCGAACCTAATAAGAGTCCTACCAGCCTCCCTACACAATCTTTTATTTGCCTTGCCTTTGTCCAACCGCGTGTTCACCCCATACTCCCTTCCCTCCATGTCCCCTCCTCCGCTTAGACCAAGCACAAAGCCGTAGCTCCACATTCACAAAACAGAGTGAGAAAAATGTGTATGTTTGGGGAGATTCTTGATTCAAGCCTCAGACTGCAACAGAAGTTGCTGGCTGAGGTGACGGGTGATGGATTCAAGACTTTGAAGTTAAAATATTTGTTAATAGCAACTCGCCATCAGGGGACCTTCTTTCACCATAACAACATAATTCTGATTAAGTGGTTATGGTGCCCAGAGTGTCCCATTTATACATGATTTAGGTAAAGATGAAGCTGTAATATGCAGGCTTTGCTTAATACACAAAGCTTCTTTTTTTTTTGGCCTAGAGCATGATATAATTGTAATGCTGGGGCCTTGAATTGATCGGATGACCAAAACGTCCCTCTACTCACTTTATATGGCACAATACAATAAGAGTTGCTGTTTCTTTATTAGTATCTTTTGAAATTTTTCACTCTCCACTAACTTTTGGCAAGTGAATATTTACCCACAGCACGCAGAAATACACCCCTAGTGAGTGTGCTGTAGAAACTTTTAAAGGCACCCCTAGTTAGTGTGCTATAGTAACTTTTAAAAACCCCCCTAATTAGTGTGCTATAGTAACTTTTAAAGGCAAGCTATAAGTGTAAGAATTTTAAGACCTGCCTTTGTGCTTTATTTAATGTTGGGCAGATGTAATGCTGGGTCTGTTATTTTTGCCGATCAAGGGTGTAGGAGGAATGGGGCTTGCGAAAAAACCCTCTAGGTAAGGTAAAGTGTGGGTCGCTGGGTGATTCCCAGTGGGTCGCGCTGACCACACATCCAAGGCAGCCGGGGACTCGGGAGACAGGCAGGCAGATTGATTGGTGGTGCCCTCAGTTCATGACCGAGGGCCCAACACCAGGAGTGGGCCAGGTGGCTTGCCCTGTATGCCGCCGGGCCTCTCCATCAATCTGCCCGAGAATAAGCCCAGCAACGCCGGTCTGCTGCTCCGCCGGGTGCAGAGCTGCAGACTGTGTGAAAGAGGTCTCGCGAGCTCCCAGAGCGTTACCATGGCAATACTATGTGTGCTCATAAGAACTCTATCACAGCGGAGCTGACAGGAGAGTTAACCCACCGGACCACCAGGGAATTTATTCAATTAAAAATAAAGGTAGGACACAGCATGCTCCCCACACCTTAACCCCTTCTCTCCCTGCCCCCTCCCCACTGTAACCCCTTCTCTCCCTGCCCCCCCCACTGTAACAATTTCTCTCCCTGCCCCCATAACCCTCTCTCTCCCTGCCCCCCACTGTCACCCTTTCTCACCCATCCCCACACAGTCACCCTTTCTCACCCATCCCCACACAGTCACCCTTTCTCACCCATCCCCACACAGTCACCCTTTCTCACCCATCCCCACACAGTCACCCTTTCTCACCCGCAACACTGTCACCCTTTCTCACCCGCAACACTGTCACCCTTTCTCACACTGCCCCCCCACGCTGCCACCAGCACATACTCCCCTTTAAACTAAACACAGTGATCTGTGCATGGTCCCGCCCCCTCAGACTAAACACAGTGATCTGTGCATGGCCCCACCCCCTAAGACTAAACACAGTGATCTGTGCATGGCCCTGCACCCTCAGACTAAACACAGTGATCTGTGCATGGCCACGCCCACTCAGACTGAACACAGTGATCTGTGCATGGCCCCGCCCCCTCAGACCGAACAGTGATCTGTGCATGGCCCCGCCCCCTCAGACTGAACACAGTGATCTGTGCATGGTCCCGCCCCCTCAGACTGAACACAGTGCTCTGTGCATGGCCCCACCCCCTCAGACTGAACACAGTGATGTGTGCATGGCCCCACCCCCTCAGACTAAACACAGTGATCTGTGCATGGCCCCACCCCCTCAGACTAAACAGTGCTCTGTGCATGGCCCCACCCCCTCAGACTAAACACAGTGATCTGTGCATGTCCACGCCGCCTCAGACTGAACACAGTGATCTGTGCATGGCCCCACCCCCTCAGACTAAACACAGGGATCTGTGCATGGCCACGCCCCCTCAGACTGAACACAGTGATCTGTGCATGGCCCCGCCCCCTCAGACTGAACACAGTGATCTGTGCATGGCCCCACCCCCTCAGACTGATAACGGTGATCTGTGCATGGCCACACCCCCTCAGACTAAACACAGTGATCTGTGCATGGCCCTGCCCCCTCAGACTAAACACAGTGATCTTGCATGGCCCCCCCCAGACTAAACACAGTGATCTGTGCATGGCCACGCCCACTCAGACTAAACACAGTGATCTGTGCATGGCACCACCCCCTCAGACTGAACACAGTGATCTGTGCATGGCCCCGCCCCCTCAGACTGAACACAGTGATCTGTGCATGGCCCCACCTCCTCAGACTGAGCACAGTGATCTGTGCATGGCACCACCCCCTCAGACCGAACACAGTGATCTGTCCATGACCCAGCCCCCTCAGACCGAACACAATGATCTGTGCATGGCCACGCCCACTCAGACTAAACACAGGGATCTGTGCATGGCCCCACCTCCTCAAACTAAACACAGTGATCTGTGCCTGGCACCACCCCCTCAGACTGAACACAGTGATCTGTCCATGACCCCGCCCCCTCAGACGGAACACTGTGCTCTGTGCATGGCCACGCCCCCTCAGACTGAACACAGTGATCTGTGCATTGCCCCACCTCCTCAGACTGAACACAGTGATCTGTGCATGGCACCGCCCCCTCAGACCGAACACAGTGATCTGTCCATCACCCCGCCCCCTCACACTGAACACAGTGATCTGTGCATGGCCCCGCCCCCTCAGACTAAACAGTGATCTGTGCACGGCCCCACCCCCTCAGACTAAACAGTGCTCTGTGCATGGCACCACCCCCTCAGACTAAACATTCACAAAAGTAGACAACCCAGGGTATTCAGAATTGGGTAAGTCCAGTCTTTTGTAGTAGCCACTTAGTCACAAATGCTAGCCAAAGTTATAGTTTTTATATATATAAATCTATAAATATATATTTTTTTGCATTTTTTCACACAAAAACTGCACTTTCACCGATGATATCATCATCATTATCATTACAAGTTTTAGTGTTTTAAAACACTCATATTTGTGTTCAGGGAAGTCTCCTGGGTACAACAAATCCCCCCTATGTACAGGTTTTATAGTGTTTTGGAAAGTTACAGGGTTAAATATAGGGCTTGTAAACTAAATTCAATAGACTTTCTGCCTGAGTTGTCACGCAGGTCCCTTGAATTATGTGTGTATCCACGTTTATTGAGGATTTTTTTATTGTAGTTGCCTTTCTTGCTTTCAGAGGTTAAATAGCGCAATGGCACTGAAAGGGTTAACTTTGAAACGCCAAAACAGCTTGCTCCGGGCAATTTCTCAACTTGCGGTCATTTCACAATTCGGTGCATAATTAAATGTGCTGTGTGGGTATTCTGTCCCCGCCAATAATTGTTCCCCATCGAACAAACCTCTTCTTGTCACAGTTTGCCAAATAAACAGTGCAGAATGAGGAAAACTGATAAGACGCCAGACAGGAAGAAGTCTATTAGCAGGTATTAGTTTGGAGGATTTTAAAGCAGTTATTAACTAAACTGGGAATTGGTGACAAGTGGCAAGACAATCACAGATCGGATGTGCATGGCCCCACCTCCTCAGACTGAACACAGTGATCTGTGCATGGCCACGCCCGATCAGACTAAACACAGGGATCTGTGCATGGCCCCACCCCCTCAGACTAAATACAGGGATCTGTGCATGGCCCCGCCCCCTCAGACTGAACACAGTGATCTATCCATGACCCCGCCTCCTCAGACGGAACACAGTGCTCTGTGCATGGCCCCACCCCCTCAGACTGAACACAGTGATCTGTGCATGACCCCGCCCCCTCAGACTGAACACAGGGATCTGTGCATGGCCCCACCTCCTCAGACTGAACACAGTGATCTGTTCATTGCCCCACCTCCTCAGACTGAACACAGTGATCTGTGCATGACCTCGCCCCCTCAGACTGAACACAGTGATCTGTGCATGGCACCACCCCCTCAGACCGAACACAGTGATCTGTCCATGACCCCGCCCCCTCACACTGAACAAAGTGATCTGTGCATGGCCCCGCCCCTTCAGACTAAACACAGTGATGTGTGCATGGCCACGCCCAATCAGACTAAACAGTGATCTGTGCATGGCCCCACCCCCTCAGACTAAACAGTGCTCTGTGCATGGCCCCGCCCTCTCAGACTAAACACAGTGATCTGTGCATGGCCCCGCCCCCTCAGACTGAACACAGTGATCAGTGCATGGCCCTGCCCCCTCAGACTGAACACAGTGATCAGTGCATGGGCCCGCCCCCTCAGACTAAACACAGTGATGTGTGCATGGCCACGCCCACTCAGACTAAACAGTGATCTGTGCATGGCCCCGCGCCCTCAGACTGAACACAGTGATCTGTGCATGGCCCCGCGCCCTCAGACTAAACACAGGGATCTGTGCATGTCCCCACCCCCTCAGACTGAACACAGTGCTCTGTGCATGGCCCCACCCCCTCAGACTAAACAGTGCTCTGTGCATGGCCCCGCCCCCTCAGACTAAACACAGGGATCTGTGCATGGCACCACCCCCTCAGACTAAACACAGTGATCTGTGCATGGCCTGCCCCCTCAGACTGAACACAGTGATCAGTGCATGGCCACGCCCCCTCAGACTGAACACAGGGATCTGTGCATGGCCCCACCTCCTCTGACTGAACACAGTGATCTGTGCATTGCCCCACCTCCTCAGACTGAACACAGTGATCTGTGCATGACCCCGCCCCCTCAGACTAAACACAGTGATCTGTGCATGGCCCCGCGCCCTCAGACTAAACACAGGGATCTGTGCATGGCCCCACCCCCTCAGACTAAACACAGGGATCTGTGCATGGCCCCACCCCCTCAGACCGAACACAGTGATCTGTGCATGGCCCCGCCCCCTCAGACCGAACACAGTGATCTGTGCATGGCCCCGCCCACTCAGACTAAACACAGTGATGTGTGCATGGCCACGCCCACTCAGACTAAACAGTGATCTGTGCATGGCCCCGCGCCCTCAGACTGAACACAGTGATCTGTGCATGGCCCCGCGCCCTCAGACTAAACACAGGGATCTGTGCATGTCCCCACCCCCTCAGACTGAACACAGTGCTCTGTGCATGGCCACGCCCCCTCAGACTGAACACAGTGATCTGTGCATGACCTCGCCCCCTCAGACTGAACACAGTGATCTGTGCATGGCACCACCCCCTCAGACCGAACACAGTGATCTGTGCATGACCTCGCCCCCTCAGACTGAACACAGTGATCAGTGCATGGCCACGCCCCCTCAGACTGAACACAGGGATCTGTGCATGGCCCCACCTCCTCTGACTGAACACAGTGATCTGTGCATTGCCCCACCTCCTCAGACTGAACACAGTGATGTGTGCATGGCCACGCCCACTCAGACTAAACAGTGATCTGTGCATGGCCCCACCCCCTCCGACTAAACAGTGCTCTGTGCATGGCCCCGCCCCCTCAGACTAAACACAGGGATCTGTGCATGGCACCACCCCCTCAGACTAAACACAGTGATCTGTGCATGGCCTGCCCCCTCAGACTGAACACAGTGATCAGTGCATGGCCACGCCCCCTCAGACTGAACACAGGGATCTGTGCATGGCCCCACCTCCTCTGACTGAACACAGTGATCTGTGCATTGCCCCACCTCCTCAGACTGAACACAGTGATCTGTGCATGACCCTGCCCCCTCAGACTAAACACAGTGATCTGTGCATGGCCCCGCCCCCTCAGACTAAACACAGGGATCTGTGCATGGCCCCGCCCCCTCAGACTAAACACAGGGATCTGTGCATGGCCCCACCCCCTCAGACCGAACACAGTGATCTGTGCATGGCCCCGCCCCCTCAGACCGAACACAGTGATCTGTGCATGGCCCCGCCCACTCAGACTAAACAGTGATCAGTGCATGGCCCCGCCCCCTCAGACTAAACAAAGCAATCGGTGCATGGCCCCGCCCCCTCAGACTAAACAAAGCAATTGGTGCATGGTCCCGCCCCCCAGACTAAAAACAGTGATCTGTGCATGGCCCCGCCCCCTCAGACTAAAAACAGTGATCTGTGCATGGCCCCGCCCCCTCAGGCTAAACACATCGATCTGTGTATGTGTATCAGCAATACCAGCACAGGCCAATAGGGTTAAGTTGTGAGTCATTCTGTGCTGTGTGTAGATAGGAAGTTACATGATATTCCTGCCCCTTCACTAACTGAATCTGTGCTGGAGCTACATACTGCAATCGCAGCCAGCATTATCCCAGATTGCAGCTATCGCAGCCAGCATTATCCCAGATTGCAGCTATCGCAGCCAGAATTACCCCAGCCTGCAGCTATCACAGCCAGCATTACCCCAGCCTGCAGCTACCGCAGTCAGCATTTCCCCAACCTGCTGTGACGGATCACCTGGCACCCCGACTGGGTACCTCTGTTGAAGGATGCTCCTAGCGCTTCCTGAGCATGGCTTTTCTGCCCAAAACCAGTTCCACAGGTCTATCTTCTCCTCTATACTGGAGATAATTGGCTTAACTGGGTATGGTAAGCCAACTATCTCCAGGTACAGAAAATATCTCCATTCACAACAGCAGCAAAAATACACAAAGATACATAATTCCCATTACACTGAACAGAACCCCCATATTCAACCTATCCCCAGATGGCTTGGATCTGAGCGCTCAATATATCCAAACAGTGCTTAGATCCCACAAACACAGTCAAATCGCCATGGGATTTAGGTTTAGCATGGGCTGATGAGAGGGGGCCATAGTCATGAGGAAGGAGACTGGCAATTAGGCTTCTCCATAAGCCAAGGACACATGGCAATTTGTCACATAAAATCCCAGTTACAAACGGCAGTTTGTAACACCTGCAGCTACCGCAGTCCGCATTACCCCAACTGCAGCTATCGCAGCCAGCATTACCCCAACCTGCAGCTACCACAGTCAGCATTACCCCAGCCTGCAGCTATCGCAGCCAGCATTACCCCAACTGCAGCTATCGCAGCCAGCATTACCCCAACTGCAGCTATCGCAGCCAGCATTACCCCAGCCTGCAGCTATTGCAGCCAGCATTACCCTAGCCTGCAGCTATTGCAGTCAGCATTACCCAAGCCTGCAGCTATTGCAGTCAGCATTACCCAAGCCTGCAGCTATCGCAGTCAGCATTACCCCAACTGCAGCTATCGCAGCCAGCATTACCCCAGCCTGCAGCTATCGCAGTCAGCATTACCCCAACTGCAGCTATCGCAGTCAGCATTACCCCAACTGCAGCTATCGCAGTCAGTATTACCCCAACCTGCAGCTACCGCAGTCAGCATTACCCCAGCCTGCAGCTAGCCAGCATTACCCGAACTGCAGCTTTCACAGCCAGCATTACCCTAGCCTGCAGCTCTCGCAGCTAGCATTACCCCATAGCAGTCAGCATTACCTCAACCTGCAGCTATAGCAGTCAGCATTACTCCAACCTGCAGCTATAGCAGTCAGCATTACCCCAGTTTGCAGCTTTAGCAGTCAGCATTACCCCAACCTGCAGCTATAGCAGTCAGCATTACCCCAACCTGCAGCTATAGCAGTCAGCATTACCCCAACTTGCAGCTATAGCAGTCAGCATTACCCCAACTTGCGGCTATAGCAGTCAGCATTATTCCAACCTGCAGCTATAGCAGTCAGCATTATTCCAACCTGCAGCTATAGCAGTCAGCATTACCCAAACTTGCAGCTATAGCAGTCAGCATTACCCCAACTTGCAGCTTTAGCAGTCAGGAGCAGAGATGAGGGATGGGGAAGGAAGTAGAGACAGGTAGGAGTGCAGTAAGAACGAGAGACAAAGCGAGGCATTAATTTAGAGGAAGAGGGGTGGAGGTATCTGTATGTGATAAACTGGGACTGATATTATAAAGCGAATAAGGAACACATTGCTTGGCAAATATAAGTGATAGCGATAAAATGCATATTTATTACAAATAGTAAGCATTCTATGCAGTGACATACAATGGGTGAGACTTCATCCCTATAAATAGCTAAACAAGGTGATAATTTAGAACCAGAAAAATAAATTAAATCTGAGAACGAGGGTGTTGACACTTATTTATACTGATGGAATTAATTCACTAAACAGAATGTTGCAATTCTGTTTTCAGTTCACACATTTCACTATAGAAAATAGCTAAGCTATGACTTTACTGAGGTTGGGAAATATTTACAAATCAGCTTTTTTTGGCCCAAGTGTTACAATTCTAATTTTGTATTGGCTGTTTAGTGAATTTACCAGTGTGTGTGCGCGCATGTGATGGGTGTTTGTTTGTGTATAGCAATTCCCTTGCATACCATTCAGAAACACTATACACATACACAATGCTACGTAGCATACACATTTTAGGGACCTTTCCCCTTCCAAATGTTTTTTCTCCCTAATGTCACTCCCAATGATGTATATTACCACATTTTAACGTCATATCATGCCATGCATATATAATTATGCAAATTTACTTGACTGGTACTTTACTGCCTTGAGAGGTGGCAACCCTATTCATCCCTCCCTGTCACAGGTGGCTCATTTCCTATTATTTAACCTTCAGGGAGCCCGAGGAGGATGGATGGCCCTACCAGGTAAGCTGATTAATCTCACAAGAGCAGTTACTAGTTTGGTATAGAATAGAACCAATCAAAAATGTGTCCATTGGTATTGTGGCAGGCTGGTTGATAAATGTAAAATGTTTATGAGTTTATTGTTGGTTTGACGTTTAGTGTGCTGTATATTTTGACGGACAGATCATTTGAAAGAATCCCATACTACACGGATCTCCTCTGCGCTGTCATGGGGCCCTAAACCCTGAGATTAGAGGGAGTTACACTGCCAATGAATACCTGCTGCAGTTTTATTGACAGCAGCTGAGGAACTCACACTAATCTCAGGCAGCACTAGGACAGGTCTGCTGGACTCACATCATTGTCTTTCCTTTAACTCCTGCAGTAAACTAAACGTTAACCTCTACATCCCTCTATAGATATTGTTAGATTTCCTGCTGCAAAAAAAACCTGAAATTAATTACCCTGAATGTTCTTCTGGCTGCTTTCGTCTATGAATCACCTGAAATAATAAGTCCATAGTCTGTTTCGTGCATGATGCCTTTAAAAAGTAATTAAACCCACTGCCGGCAATTTTATTGTTGAAATATTAGCCCAGTCCTGACATGGATATCATTGTTACAAGTATACAGTTTGCCATAAATATATACATCATGTGGTATTTAAATGCAATGTACGGCCATGCCTGCTGTCCTCTGCGCCCGCTATTTAATGTCCCACATTGGCACTGCTTTCCATATGATCTCCTAAGGATCAGATCAATCCTTGGCAAGATCTCCCCATGCAAAAGGATGACGCAGACTAGTTACGGTGTGTATATCTCCTGAATTTTGGACTTTGATCCGGAACTGGGCTTTTAACTTGGGCTATGTTATCTTCTGGTTTCCTAACCAAGACTTTTGTGTTAGAAACGGAATTTGTCTGCTAACTTTAATCATTTACTTCTTGCACTATGTTACCTTTCGAACTCTGATCTTGTGTGACTTCTACAGAGCTCATAAGGAGCTAAAACCTGCAATTCCACAGTGCACCTAACATGTGTGGGAGCCTGGAGTGTCCCTCCTAGCTTCATATACAAATCTGCTGCGGGAAAGAGAAGGAGGGTCTGGGAGCAGCAGCAGGGCCTCTCCACTGTCTATCACAGGGGCCCTGCCAGGCTGATTTGTTTCCTCCTCTGCCTACACTCCTCAGCGGCAAAGCTAGGAAGAAGTGATATCATGGTACTTTCTTCTAGCACTCTATGGAAGTTGCACAGGAGGGAGGAAGGAGCCCAACACTATGCAGAGCCTGGGGCCAGTTTCTGCAGCAGAGAGGAGTGAGGAGCAGCAGGCATTTCTGTGTATGTATGTGTTTGTATTAGACATGTGCAATTCGTTTTGTTCCAAATGTACATTCATCCGAATTTCGTGCAATTCAGACATTCGGATACTTACGAATGTCCGAAGTGCTGAAATTCCAAAGTGCCGAAGTTTGGTAGTGCCGAACTGAACTGAATGACATTGTTCCCAATTGCCGAAGTGCTTTGGGTTTCTGTAAAGTTAGAGGGAGGGAAAATTACATGAATGATGACAGGAATCTTGACCAATAAGCTAATTCCTGGCACTGTGGGTCCTAAAGATGTGTAAGTGGTTGTGGTGGCACTCCGGGCACTGGGAGCCTTCACTGTATGTTTGTATGGTTCACTGTGTGTGTGTGTGTGGGGAGGTGTGGGGGTCACTGTGTGTATGTGTGTGGGGGTCACTGTGTGTGTCTGTGGGTATTACTGAGTGAATGTATTGGTCATACAATGTTGTTGATTTGGAAGTTTTTTCCTGTCTGAATATTTTTTTTTATTTTTTATTTTTGTAAAATCTTTTTTTATTGAGTTTTTATAGATATGGAGACAAAAGAGTTGTAGACACGCAGGCCCAACCACACAAATACATGCAGATATTACACAGATATACAGCTTGTGCGGTTCCATTTGCGTTATCAGGTGTTGTATAATTGTGGGTGGTGGAACTCATGTTTCATTCTAAGTAAAATTATAGAGCATTCCCCAATAATAGCTTATGTTTATCTCTGCCTATGGTTCCATAATGCTTCCTGTGTCAGTTGTGTAAATCACTCCTCCCCACCTCCATGTCATTGTATTATGGTCTGTGAGAGAGGACAGCGAAGAAAGATGCGAGAGGTAAGTAAGTAAAGAGAAAAGGAGCAGAGAAAGTCCCCTACAGGCCCCCATGTCTCTCTTCTGTGTAATCATTCAAAATCTGAGATATGTACTAACAGATGAAACAGTGCATGCATCGCAACAAAGTATCATTCCTAAAATGGTTATTATGAAAATTATGAAACAGTTATTATATGTTACACATGTGGCTTCATGGACAGTCTATTATCGTTTCCCCACCACAACTTTAGGATTAAGTAAACCGCAGTGGCTAACAAGTTATTCCCAGTTCACAAACATTATACGTATTTTGTACGGAACTCTGCGTTGTACAACGTACATAGTAGAGCATGTTGCGCCAAGCACATCCCAGCAGTAGCACCTGCCAGATTTTTCCCTTTGCCGATTAGGCTGATATAAGTATTAGGATGGAGTGCTGTCTGAATATTTTGCCAAAAAAATGTCCGGGTAAAATATGACAAAGTTATAGTGAGATTTCAAAGCGAGAATTCAAAGTGAACATGAAATTTAAAGGAGCACACCTCTCAAAAAATGGGATGGGTGGTGTGACAAACTGAACCTCATCATGGGTTCTTGGAGTGGCCTTCTGGTCTGCCTCTTGCCTCAGGATTATGGGCCCTGCAATATATCTTGCCCAATGCACTTTAAAAGGCTCTGTTCCTGTGAATTATGTACTTTTGTACTTCAGAAAGAGAGACTGAATGTTGGCTATAATTCCCTGGAACTGTTTTGGGCATAGGACCATGTGCACGGTCTGTCAAAATTATGACTTCCATGGAAATCCCGAACCCCTGAACCGATCTGGGTGATTTTTGGATTTGTTGGTCATCCAGATCGGGGCTATCAGGCGATGTAACTTTTGTTGGGTTTCCATGGGTTTTGGGGGTATTTTCGGGTGTTGTTAAAAGTTGTGTTTTTTGTGCCTGGAGATAATTGAGTTAGTTCAGTTCCTGACTCAATTATCTCCCAGGCATAAGGGAGGGATTGTCTTGTTTTGTATGGAAGTGTCCTGGACCTGAGATCCAATGCAATTGTGTGTACGTTTTTACTTTAGTCTACTTTTAGGTCCAGGAGCCCCACCACATGTGGACTGTCATAAAAGGCCAGTTGTGGCTGCCATTAAACAGATTTAGTTTTATCTTTCATGAAGTCTAGGCTTAAGTTTGGGGGATTGGAGAGCTCTATTCACTCTGGGGATTGCTATAATCACTATACTCCTTTGGATCACAACGATTGCTCTTGTAAGAGCAGCCTGCTTCGCTGCCTGGACTAGGAGAGGCCTACCCACTGGAAGCTGGATCCTGGTCTTCAGTCCAGGGTGGGTGGAGGACAGCGAGACCCCAACCAAGCTGCGGTGGTTTACAGTGGTTATGGTGTTCCAGTGCCGTGCTTATGGTACTCAAGGATTACTAGGAAGCAGGGTTGAGGGAGGTATCCAGTCAGGGTGCCAGGCGGTCAGTCACAGGTGGAATTCCTGTTTAGTAGTTATACTTCATATGGCTGCAGTCTTTGTAATCCCTTCCCTTCTTCAGAGGCTTCTCATTGAAAATCCTCAGAATCCGTCCCTTCCTGTGCACACACTGCATTCATGAAAAATGCTGGTCTGATGTGAGGTCTGTTTGGAGAAATGGAGTAAAACGTGCCTGCCACTTCTGTAAGCTCGATGGAGCTAACAGAAGGAGGAAGCAAATTTCCCTGAACGTCTGACAGCCAAGAAGGGGTTTCTTTATTGAATTATAAAAGTTCAGATTTCTCATAAAAATTGGCACTTTTTAGAAACTGGAATTAACATAAGATACTCCTCACCCATAAAGCAATTCAGCAAGCTGATGAAATGGTCCTTTAAGGCCGGAGTAGCTGAAATGAAAACTGACTTTCCCATATTTCTACTTTGGCCTTATATTTGAAATTCACTTTGAATTCTCATTTTAGTAAATAACCCTGACAGTTTCCTTGTATTTCTCTTTCTTTTTTGAAACTCTTTCAGAGAGGAATTTCTCCACCTTTGTTTCTCCTTGTTACACTGCAGAGAAAATAAAAGCAATATGATCAAATAATTTATAGGCGTCAAAGTCAATGTATTGAAAGGATTTATGAGCCCAGAAATGTATTGAAAGGATTTATGAGCCCAACAAAACATATACTCACTACATTTATCATTCATTTCAATCTGTAGACCTGAACATTTTATTTATTCGTCAGGTTTCAATCCACAGAAAGGAAGAAATTCCCTGTTCCAGCGCACATAATGTATAGAGTGTCTGTGATGTCAATGTAAAGATAGCCAGTGATGTCCATGTCGAGATATAAATGTCTGTGATGTAAATGTAAAGATAGATAACCAGTGATGTTCATGTCGCGATATCGAACACAATGTAAAGAGTGTCTGTGATGTCAATGTAAAGATAGTCAGTGATGTCTATGTCGAGATATCGAACACAATGTAAAGAGTGTCTGTGATGTCAATGTAAAGATAGATAGCCAGTGATGTCCATGTCGAGATATCGAACACAATGTAAAGAGTGTCTGTGATGTCAATGTAAAAATAGATAGCCAGTGATGTCCATGTCAAGATATCGAACACAATGTAAAGAGTATCTGTGATGTCAATGTAAAGATAGATAGCCAGTGATGTCCATGTCAAGATATCGAACACAATGTAAAGAGTATCTGTGATGTCAATGTAAAGATAGATAGCCAATGATTTTCATGTCGAGACATCGAACACAATGTAAAGAGTGTCTGTGATGTCAATGTAAAGATAGATAGCTAGTGATGTTTGTGGCAACTGACATTTAATGTGGATAAGTGCAAGATAATGCATCTTGGACGTAAAATATAATGCATCTTGGACGTAAAAACCCAAGGGCAGAGTACAGAATATTTGATAGAGTTCTAACCTCAACATATGAGGAAAGGGATTTAGGGGTGATTATTTCTGATGACTTAAAGGTAGGCAGACAATGTAATAGAGCAGCAGGAAATGCTAGCAGAATGCTTGGTTGTATAGGGAGAGGTATTAGCAGTAGAAAGAGGGAAGTGCTCATGCCATTGTACAGAACACTGGTGAGACCTCACTTGGAGTATTGTACACAGTACTGGAGACCGTATCTTCAGAAGGATATTGATACCTTAGAGAGGGTTCAGAGAAGGGCTACTAAACTGGTTCATGGATTGCGGGATAAAACTTACCAGGAAAGGTTAAAGGATCTTAACATGTATAGCTTGGAGGAAAGACGAGACAGGGGGGATATGATAGAAACATTTAAATATATAAAGGGAATCAACACAGTAAAGGAGGAGACTATATTTAAAAGAAGAAAAACTACCACAACAAGAGGACATAGTCTTAAATTAGAGGGACAAAGGTTTAAAAATAATATCAGGAAGTATTACTTTACTGAGAGGGTAGTGGATGCATGGAATAGCCTTCCAGCTGAAGTGGTAGAGGTTAACACAGTAAAGGAGTTTAAGCATGCGTGGGATAGGCATAAGGCTATCCTAACTATAAGACTAGGGACTAATGAAAGTATTTAGAAAATTGGGCAGACTAGATGGGCCGAATGGTTCTTATCTGCCGTCACATTCTATGTTTCTATGTCCATGTCAAGATATCGAACACAATGTAAAGAGTATCTGTGATGTCAATGTAAAGATAGATAGCCAGTGAGGTCCATGTCGAGACATCGAACACAATGTAAAGAGTATCTGTGATGTCAATGTAAAGATAGCCAGTGATGTTCATGTCGATATATCGAACACAATGTAAAGAGTATCTGTGATGTCAATGTAAAGATAGCCAGTGATGTCCATGTCAAGATATCGAACACAATGTAAAGAGTGTCTGTGATGTCAATGTAGAGATAGATAGCCAGTGATGTTCATGTCGAGATATCGAACACAATGTAAAGAGTATCTGTGATGTCAATGTAAAGATAGCCAGTGAGGTCCATGTCGAGATATCGAACACAATGTAAAGAGTATCTGTGATGTCAATGTAAAGATAGATAGCCAGTGATGTCTATGTCGAGATATCGAACACAATGTAAAGAGTGTCTGTGATGTCAATGTAAAGCTAGATAGCCAGTGATGTTCATGTCGAGATATTGAACACAATGTAAAGAGTATCTGTGATGTCAATGTAAAGATAGATAGCCAGTGATGTTCATGTCGAGACATCGAACACAATGTAAAGAGTGTCTGTGATGTCAATGTAAAGTTAGATAGCCAGTGATGTCCATGTCGAGACATCGAACACAATGTAAAGAGTATCTGTGATGTCAATGTAAAGATAGCCTGTGATGTCCACGTCAAGATATCGAACACAATGTAAAGAGTATCTGTGATGTCAATGTAAAGATAGATAGCCAGTGATGTTCATGTCAAGATATAGAACACAATGTAAAGAGTATCTGTGATGTCAATGTAAAGATAGCCAGTGACGTCCATGTCAAGATATCGAACACAATGTAAAGAGTATCTGTGATGTCAATGTAAAGATAGATAGCCAGTGATGTTCATGTTGAGATATCGAACACAATGTAAAGAGTATCTGTGATGTCAATGTAAAGATAGATAGCCAGTGATGTTCATGTCGAGACATCGAACACAATGTAAAGAGTGTCTGTGATGTCAATGTAAAGTTAGATAGCCAGTGATGTCCATGTCGAGACATCGAACACAATGTAAAGAGTATCTGTGATGTCAATGTAACGATAGATAGCCAGTGATGTTCATGTCGAGACATCGAACACAACGTAAAGAGTGTCAGTGATGTCCATGTCAAGATATCGAACACAATGTAAAGAGTATCTGTGATGTCAATGTAAAGATAGATAGCCAGTGATGTTCATGTCGAGATATCGAACAAAATATAAAGACAGTCAAACCGTTTATAAATGTGTTGACTACTTAATGTTGCAGGGCACTCTTGGAACCATAACCACTAAAGCAGGCTGTAATGGTTATGGTGCTTGAAGTGTTCCAACATGACTAAAATCAAAATGCAGTGTAGCCCTAAAATAGATCCAATTTAGAGTGCTTTGCAAAAACACAGCAAACCACATATTAAAAACAACAATATGTGTATTAAAAAGATGAATAAAACCACTCACGTGCTCCTGAGCCTCGGCTTAGCCTCTTTTTATTCGCAGTACGCCTTTCTGATGGGAGGTGTCCCCCAACTCTGTGATGGAAAAATTATTCCAAAAGGATATGTAGCCAGTACTTTATTATAGGTCAAAAACTAGACAAATAAAATAAAATTATGTTGTGTTCGTGCAATATATTGTTTATTTGCCCAGCATTATTCTAACACCGTGACACTGTAAATTGGATCTATTTTAGCACTACACTACGTTTTTGGATTTTAGTCATTTTTGGTGTGAGGGATGCACTTCGTAGCGTTGAAAAGCTGATTAATATTTTTTACTCATATTTAAATTATATTTTAAGTATAAGGTATTTAAGTGCTGTTATATACACTGCACAGTTTTTTTTGAAAGAGCCAACATAACTAAAGCTCAGTTGATAGTTTTTCTAAATGAGCTGTTTTAGCCCAAGTTTTCCTAATTCATTTTAAAAGTGGCTGTTTAGTAAGTGGGTTAGTGCTATGTTTATTTTAAAGATCCTACCATACTGAGCGATATGTTTTTGTTGTTTCCAGTTAACTCGCAAAATCCGCTAAGCCAAGAAGATGCTACGATGCACTGTTTGGAGATTCTTGTTTGCGGCGTTAGCCGTAATCAGTGTAACCTTTATAATCACACGCAAAGACCTCACTGAAAATTACTGTGAAAAATTCGACGACCTGGACTTTTATAAACAGGTAAAGACTACTTTTTAAAATAGAATTATTATTATTATGGGTAAAATAGTTAACTGAAAAAAAATTATCCAAAATAGGAAGTGTAACTTTCGATTTATTTCAGAGTTTGCAAACCATAAGAAAGATAGAACATATAAATCTACCATTACAGTTATTTCAGACTATAATGTCTTATTTATGATTATATTTTAATGTTCAATAAACTGCTTCCATGACGAAATAGAAAATTAAACCCAAAGTCTTATTTTCAGATCTCCCAAATCCAGCAGAGGAGCCCTCGCCCCTTTGATGTAAATGAAGATGCTATGGAAACCTTGAACGTCCCCTATATGTACTTTCTGGGTTCTCAACCAAGAGCGAAACGTAAGTATAAAAAAAGAACCACCCAAAACACAGAATCAGATTTCTGGGTCAGCATCCTTCCTGTGGTTTTTCTTCTTTTTGTGTGTTAGTTTCTATACTCCAAGCACCACGATCCCTTTAGTAAATTGAAGTGGTGATGGTGCCTGGAGTCTGTATATTTAGCTTTTAAACTATAAAAAAAACACTGCATTTATGGAGTCTAACTCTTTAGCTGCTGGCAGGGTCATTGGGGCGTCATTAGTAAGTCCGGAAGAACATTTTTTGGGGCTGGCTAATGTCAGTTCTGAGCATGTCTATCCATAGAATTGCATTTATTGCCTGAAAGCAGTCATCAGATGCTCTCAGCTAGTGAATAGCCCTGGGGGCCATTCAGATGCATATCACTGGCCACAGAGGAGCCTTGGTGCCAGGCGGAGATCCAGGTAAGAGGGCGAATGTTTTCAAAATGTCCCATTACCAGGAAACGGGCCAGGGTACAGCAGGCTGTCGTGGTTATAATGCTTGGAATAGCCTTTTAGTTTGTCACAACATAAATTAGAACTAAACTCTGAACAGGAATCCGATCGGGCGCAGCGGCCCTTTAACAGCCCTTTGCACATTAGCAGCCTGGGAGGAAATGAGAGCAGGTGACTTCCTCCCAGCTATGGGGAGAGCCCACGAGGGAGGCAGAGGAATAGGAGGAAGCAGCATGGGCAGCGGAGCAAGGAGAGATCTGTTCCAGATCCTACACCAAGCAAGCCACCTTCATGAACAATAAAGGTAGGTTAATAGGAGGGTGGCTGCAGATATAAAACGTATGACATGTATGTGTCAATTTCTGCCTGTGTCTGAGCGCGTGTAACCTCTACATTACATACCTGTCTCTTGCTCTCTCCTAAAGGGCAGCACTCTACTCTCTTTTTCCAGCTCTGCTTCACTCCCACCTTATTTGATTGCTATTTCCTGTCCTATTGTGTTTCATACCCCACCTTCCATAGACTGTAAACTCATTTGATGTGTTTTTTTCCTCTAATTGTCCTATTTATAGTTAAATCCCCCCCCCTCTTATAATATTGTAAAGCGCTATGGAATTTGTTGGCGCTATATAAATGCCAATAATAGTAATAATAATGTATGTCAGTCTGTGTATATGTGTGAATGTTTCAGTTTGTGTGTCAGTGTGTGTGTGTGTGTGTATATGTGTCTTAAGGTGTGCATGTGTCCGTGTGTTTATTTGTGCATCAGGGTTTGTTTATGTGTCAGTGTATGTATGTCTCAGTGTGTGTGTTTATATATGTGTATAAGTGTGTGTTAATTTGTATGTATATCTGTGTAAGTATGTATGTGGCAGTAAATGTGCATTCTGTCAAGGGAAAAAACAGGATACCCATAAAAGGTGGATTCAAAATTACAGAACCTTAGAAATGGCGGACTTAATTTATTTAATTAGCGAGAATCAAGATCAAGAACAAATCAGGGGTACAGGAATAGACAAAGTCAAGACAAAGCCGGGTCAGGATACCAGAAATCACAAGGGAATCTCTAGGAGCACTAAACGAGGATCTAACAAGAAACCACGATAGGGCAATGAATGGAGGCTGAAGCAACCTTAAATAGGCTCAAGAGAGTTCCCATTGGTCCACATCATCTTTGTGACACTAAACAGCATTGTGTCGCCTAGATGACGTGGTCCCTTTAAGGTCATGATGTCATGGCAAAAGGTTACATATAGGGCTGCAGTTCAACCCGCAAACCAGCAGAGGGAGCCGTTCGCAAGACTGAAGTTAAGCAATTTATGCCACGTGGCCCGAGGAGTGATGTAATGTGGCCTTGCAGTGTGTTCTGCCTGTGTGGCCGGAGGAGAGGATCCAAGACAGCATGCAAACACACCCTTAAGTCAAATACAAACATTACATACAAGCACACCCCTTCATTTAAAACACTACACACAAGTACACCACTGCATTCCAATGGCAACAGTAGATACTAATACACCCCTACATGCACACACATATTCTGTACAAACACAGGCTTTCATTCAAATGCACAAACACTGCTCTCAAATAAAACCCTGCAAGGGTGGGCAAATGGTAGATCTCCAGCTGGAATAGCACTGTTGGAGTTGTACGACAGATGAGGATCTACCTTTTGGCAAACCTTGCGCTATAGGGGTCCAAAAAAATTCTTGCACCAGGGTCCTCTGCACATTAGTTCTGCCACTGAGTCAAGCCCTATAAAAACATGTGAAATCTTCAATCTCTTGTCCTACCTTATTTAACCCCAAAGGGACCCCATGCTCAATTTGACCCTTGTTTTCAAAGTCAATATATAAAGGAATGAACTAGAAGCAATAAAACATTTTTAAAAAGATTTTCACACTACAATATCTCCCCACGTGTCCTTCTCATCCATTTGTTGGTCTCTCTCTCCCCCACTTCAACATTTTTCCCCTACCACAGACATCTCAAACTCCAGTCCCCAATTTGTTGTTAAATTACAACTCCCATGATTCTCCCATCCATTGCACTCAAATAATTATGTGAGTTCTATGACATCATCGAGAGGGGCAAAATATGAGATTCCTGCCCTATCACATCCCACTTATATCACACAATCTTGACCCTCAATTATTTCCCTCTCTTCCCTCCCTCATATATATCTCTCCATTCCACCTCCTATATTTATGTATTCTTTCCCAGTGTATTTCCACCTCTAATTATATAGCAATTGGTTCGCATGAAATCATTAATGCTGCAGTCTTCACCCTTCTACTCTCTATTATTAGATAATAAAAACAAACCAGCTGTATAGGAGGAACGATCATGTAAAACCACTCACCTATACAAATAGCCGAATTACATGACAGTGCAAACAGTATGGGGCGTACTCACTCAACGCCCAGTTGTACTGAACTGAAATTACATTGGAAATGGTTGTAAAGCGCGGATATTGAAAAATTCTCCCAACTAAACCCCCTTAAACCGCCTTAACATACAAACCGACAACCCTCGTGGACTGTATTATATAGACAAGCAGAATCCAACAGTAAGGGATAATGTTACAAAGTTAAAAATATAAATATGTATACATACACTCATCGTATAACCTTTTTATAAAAAACAAAAATAAATACAAAAATGCATTTCTTTAGATTACAAGATCACGGGCTAACTAAGCACTTTGTATAATAGAGCTTCAATGGCTAGATCTCAAATCACGAGCAAGGTCCCCTTTACCTTTATATTGGTCTGTGTAAATTGTATTGTATTGTGGCTTGTTGTTTGTTTGTTTTTTGTTTTTTTATTGTACATCACTCTGGGATATGTTGGCGCTTTATGAATGCCAGTAATAATAATAACAATAATAATCATAATAAATCCCACTATAAACTAGTCACTACAGTAAGAAGGATAAGGCCACAAAGATAATAAGTGAATTGCTATTTCACATGATTCATTTACAGCTTGTCATCCTAAGCCAATTCATCAGAGCAATACACAGATCATTGCAGGCAGCTAAAACACTTTTCAAATCCCTGTATTCACTTTTACAAATAGGGGACTTAGGGATAAGTACTGTAAAATGGTTTTGGATAAAAACAACACACCATTTTTGCATTCTATCACCATTTTAGGAGGCTGTATTGTATATAATGTTATCAGTTTACAAATGTCCATAACAGGATATATGACCACGTTTATCTGTTTTCGTCACACAGGCTGTATTTGTCAAATTATGCCAGTATTTGAGACCCTCTGTAACATATATCAAAATAACAGATACTGTGTATAACACATACAATGCTTCATCATGATTCTTGTAAAGAAAAAAATAAATGTAAAATTAAATTTATGTAAATTTGAGTTCTATAAAACTTTAAATACTGGTAAACGATAATTGAAACCTCAATATGTTCTTCAGCCAATGATATAACTATGCATCAGTTTCAAATAAATGCTGCGGTTAGATTTTTCAAACAATAGGGCTTTCTAGTGGAGAGTTCAATCTGTCTAATTCTAAAAGTTACTGTAGGACCTAGCTGTATTCCAGATATACTGCACAACAAACCTATACTTGCGAAATAGACCAAAAGTAGCTCACAATGTTATCTCCCGTTCTTGTAAAATGTCCTTATTTTATACGAACGTAATGCTGTTTTTTTTTCTGTCAAAGGGTTTTTTACCATTGGAATATCTTCAGTAAAAAGAAAGAAAGAAAACTATCTATTGAACACAATCCACTCCATTTTCAATCACTCAAGTCCAGAAGAGCTTGACCAGCTATTAGTTGTTGTCTACTTGGCAAATACCAAATACACTCTGAATAAAGAAACATCAGACGAGCTATACCTTCGTTTCCATACAGACATTGATGCCGGACGTTTGATCGTGATCAGCAGCCTACCCAACGCGTATCCTACATTAGAAGGCCTCAAAAGAAATTATAACGACTCGCCGGAGAGAGTCAAATTCCGCTCAAAACAAAACATAGACTATGCCTTCTTAGTGAATTTTTGTGCCAACCTGTCAAACTATTATATCATGTTGGAAGATGACGTGACATGCTCTAAAAACTTCCTCACGTCAATTAAAGGCCATGTTGACGCCCAAAAGGCATCATGGACTACAATAACATTTTCAAATCTGGGGTACATTGGGAAACTGTATCACAATGCAGATCTCTCAAAACTTGCTCGATTCCTGTTGCTGTTCTATGATGAAATGCCTTGTGATTGGCTTTTGGACCTTTTCTTTAAATCCAAAGCTCAGAAGGAAATTCTACGGGCCAAGCCGTCTCTCTTCCAGCATATGGGCATGTTCTCCTCCTTTCAAAGCAACAGGAACAATTTAAAAGACATCGACTTTGTGGAAGTCTATGAAAAATATGGAGATAACCCGTCTGCATCTTGCTTCACCAATATAGAATCTTATTTAGAAAACCAAGCAGAGAATGTTTGTAACCCGGGACCGAGTTTTTTTTGGGGAAAGAATGTAAAAAAGGGTGACTATTTCACCATGACTTTCCAGGACACAGTAAATATAGAAAGAATCCATGTTCTTACTGGGTCTCCCGATCATCCAGGAGACATGCTCCAAACTGGTTTCTTAGAACTGGGAACTGGAAAAACAAAAGACAAAGGTGGGGAGAGCTGCAAAGTCTTCAGAAAAATAGGAGAATTTATCAACGGAGAGGTTTCGTTTAAGATGGGAAAAGATGAAAAGAGTGACTGTCTCCGGATTTCTGTATCTGCTTCCCAAAACCAATGGCTCATAATACAAAAAGTTGGGATTTGGCTCAAAAAGAGATAAGAGACAAATATTGTTAGCACTAAACTAATTTGATTGTTTACCCCATTGGCTAAAAAAAGACCCCTCTATACAACAAGTTCTCTGTATCAGGGAATTGAACAAGACATTCTTATAAAAGCAAAAATCCTTTTGTACAAACTATGACAAAGAAATAAAATGAAAAAAAAAAAACAATATATAAGAACTATGACAAAGGTATAAAACATCTTCTAGAAAACACAATTTATTTGGAGAGCAAGATGACAAAATTAGTACAGGCAGGTTTGTACTGTGCAATATGGGTCATTCAAATTAATTTCACATGAACAGACTATGGCCTTTATAAATAGTGTCAAATCGGAAAAAATATTTAAGGCCCTCTGTGACATATTGCAAAATAAGGGATACTGTGTATAACGCCTAAAATGCTTTATCATGAATCTTTTAAAGAAAAAAATAAATGAAAAATTAAAAGTATGAAAATTTGAATCCTATAAAACTTTATAGAACATTAAACTATAATTTAAACCCCAACATGTTATTCAGCTAATGCTATAGCTATGCATCAGTTTCAAATAAATGCTGCGGTTAGATTTTTTTTAAAATAGTACGGCTTTCTAGTGGAGAGTTCAAGCCGTCTAATTCTAATCTCTCCCGTGATTGTAAAACGTCCATATTTATAATAACGTAATGCTGGTTTTTTTTGCCAAAGGGTTTCTTACCATTGGACTATCTTCGGTGAGAAGGAAGAAATAAAACTGTCTATTGGGGATAAAATGTCAGTATGAAAATGAAACAGTTTGCCCCTCACAGTACAATTTGTGTATAATCTCCTTCCTGAATATGTGAATGATGAACGTTTTGTAGAAACACACACAGATGTGAAAATTAATCATTTGCCGTTACAGGAAGCTGTTGTAAAATTTATGTTGGGTCTTGAGTAAATATTAACCAGCCTGCAAAACATTACACAATACAAGCAAGCTTGATAAACGATTCTCACCAGGCAAGCTGGAAAAATTAAATGAATAACATCTCATTTTGTTTTATCAAAAACTAGATGTAGCATGACTCATTTGTATTTTTTCTAAATGTGCACCTGGAATAACTCTTTACAGTACATCTGGTGACTTACCCTTGATTCATGGGGGCAGCCATCTTTAAAGGGACACTATAGTCACCAGAACCACTATCGGTAAACGTACTGGTTTAGGGGCACATAGCCTGTCCCTGAAGGCTGAGCAGTGTGCACGCTGTATTTTCTGACAACAGGCAGTGCTCTCTAGTAACACCTTTAGTCACAGCCACTAGAGGGACTTCTTGTGTTGAATGAAGATGATGAACTCTCCCCATAGTGATGTATTGACTCAGAGCAACGTTACAAGATGCTGATTGGTGCAGCATGCTGATTTTCTGGTCATGCACACTAGTCTCTCAATGCTTCCCTATAAGGAAACCGGATTGGCTGAGATCATCAAATTTGTTGATCTCACATGGGGAGAGGGCAGCGAGACTGATGCATCAAGTTGGTAAAGAAGAGTAAAATTATCACAATTCATTCTGGGAGGGGGTGCTGGATATAAATAGGTAACTCTATACCTGTTTTTATTCCTAATGCAATAAGGGTTCTTTAAGTCCTATTTGATTGTACATTTCGGTTTTAAACACAGACAACAATGAGTGAAACTCCCCCAGTGTGTGATTTTTGACACTTTTTGATAGCTGCTACTCGCACGATGCCAAGCTTCAGGACTACTGGAAACCTGCACGTTCTTCAGTAGGTTAAGAAGTGTTTCTGACAAAAAACAAAACAAAAAAAAGTCTCGCTTATATCCAAGAAATAATTTATACCTATACAGGAATGCGGCTGCTGAGACATTGGATTGCATACAGTTTGAAACTCTGCAAATTTAACATTTGCTTGTGACCCATCTGTATATGTCTGTCTCTCCTCGTCTGTCCCTCAGTATCAAAGACGGGAAGCAAGAAACATAGAAAATGAACCAGTTATGGGGGGCGGAGCCTGGCCGGGAACCAAGATGGCCGCGTGAGCCGATAGCTCCCGAGACCCAGGCACATAACAGCAACTCAAAGCGCACTGGCAGGGCGGCAATCCCCACCAACCAACCCACTCACCCCCCGGGTACCCCACAGCAATGGGCGGCAGCCGGAAAAACCGGGACACGCAGCCGGTCGCCTCGCACTTCAGAGTGCAGGGGGACCCGGCGCCATCTTCCCCACGTGGCGCTGAAAACTCTGACTCGGAGCACAGCGAGCCCTCAGCTCCGGAGTCAGCACCGCTGACGAAAGCCGACCTCCAGCGGCTGCTTAAAGAGGCAGCAGCCGATATAAAAAATCACATGGCAGCAGAATTGGAGAAACAGCTCCAGAGCCTGAAGGCAGAAATCACTGATCTGCGGGAGCGGACAGGGCAAGTGGAGCACAGAGTGGACGACATTATGGACACAGTGACCGCCCAGGCAGACACCATTTCAACTCTGCAATCACGCATAGAAACACTGGAAAACGGACTGGAAGACCTCAGCAATAGATCCAGACGAAACAACATCAGGATCAGAGGCCTCCCAGAAACCATCACTGGAGAGTTACTCCACTCCACACTGCAAGAGGTATTTCTGACCCTCTTACCTGACAAAACCCCACAAGAGCTATCCATGGACAGAGCCCACAGAGCCCTGAAGCCCCCTAGCCAAGACCACACAGCCCCCAGAGATGTGATAGTGAGGCTTCACTACTACTCCGTCAAGGAAGCACTTATGGCGGCGACCAGAAAAAGCCCGCCAAAACTGGACACCGCCACGCTGGCATTCTACCAAGACCTAGCACCCACCACGCTAGCCAAACGTCGAGAGCTGAAACCGCTCACAACGGCACTAACCCAAGCAGGCTTAGCCTACAGGTGGGGGCACCCCTTCAAACTCCTTGTCCGCAGAGACAACACGACCCACATCCTCACAGACCCCTCCAAACAGCAAGCTTTTGCCTCCAAACTGGGCCTGCGCCTACCAGCGGCAAGATCTGACACCACTACCACCACTGCACGGAGACGACCCCCAGCACTACAACCACTGTGGGAAAAACCATCGCCGCAAAGATACCACCACGCCGGGAACAGCCCAAAAGCTACGCCAAGCACCGGACCGAAGATGACCTGACTCCATCGCACCGACCCTGAACCCAGACAAGACGCACCGAAACGACGGCTTCAATAAAGAGCAAGCCGTAACACAGAGACTGCACCTATCCAACGACCCATCAAATATCCTTTACGTACTTTAAATGTAGAGACGCTGGTCATACGTGCCACGATTGTTTATTTGTCTACTTGTATACATGTGAACAGCTAGCGAAAAAAAAAAACACATAGCCCACATAACATCCCTACTGGACCAGATCAGACAACTCGAAGCACAACACAAACTAACCCCCACACAAGATCTCACAACACAACTGCACCACCAGCGCCAGGCCCTTAAACAGGCCATGGCGAAAGACGCAACTAAAGCTTTACAATGGACAAAACAAATGTTCTACGAAAAATCAAACAAAGCAGACACACTACTGGCCCGAAGGCTACGCAAACGCCAGCAAGCCAAGCAAATCACCACCATCCATACCCCCACAGGCCAACCAACCGACATACCCAATAAAATAGCCGAGACCTTCCAGAAGTATTTCACTGACCTATACGACCACTCCCCTCAACACCGCCAAGATGACGGCCCCCTACACGATAACATACAAACCCTCCTAGCAAAGGCCCACATTCCGACACTCACGACGGAGGCTCAAGCACACCTCTCTACAGAAATTACAGAGGAGGAGGTGAGGAGAGTCATAGGCACCACGAAACCCAACAAAAGCCCAGGCCCGGACGGATACTCGGGCATCTACTACAAAACATTCACAGACAACCTGCTACCCTACATGACAAAGCTATATAACTCGCTCATGACTGGAGATCAGCTGCCCGAGGACATGCTGGAGGCAAACATTTGCCTACTACCCAAACCTGGCAAACCGCATACAGAACCAGGTCACTACAGACCCATTTCCCTATTAAACGTAGACATCAAAATCTTCACCAAAATCCTTGCCAACAGACTGCTCCCCTACATTCCATCGACAATCCACCCCGACCAGGTCGGATTTGTCCCCACAAGACAAGCGAGCGACAACACCAGACGGACTTTAGACCTCATATGGGTAGCCAATCACCGTCACATCCCCACCCTCCTACTATCCCTTGACGCCGAGAAGGCATTTGATAGACTACTATGGCCCTTCCTCTTCGCCACCTTAGAGAAACTCCAATTCCCAACACCATTCATGACAGCCCTCAAAACGATCTACTCAGTCCCAAAAGCAAAATTACTCATCCCAAATGCGCAACCCCCCCACTTCCCTATACATAACGGAACGAGGCAGGGCTGCCCACTGTCACCGATCCTTTTTGCCCTATCATTGGAACCACTTTTACACCTCATACGCACCACCGCTACCATCACGGGCATTACAGTACGCTCCCAAGCTTACAAGGTGGCGGCGTACGCCGATGACCTGCTCCTAACGCTAACTGAACCCCTCACCGCCCTCCCACCACTCCTGAAACTGGTGAAAGAATACTCAGCAGCCTCAGGATATAAACTAAACCTGGACAAGACAGAGGCACTTAGCATAAATATCGACCAAGACACGATGGAGACACTACTGGAAACATACAGGTTTCGCTACAACACATCCCACATCCCATACCTAGGTATACAGCTACCAGCAGCACTACACCGCACGTACGCCCTGAACTATACTCCAATGATACAGAAAGCAACGGACGATCTCAAAAGATGGCAAAACCTATCACTTTCATGGTTAGGCCGCATTGCATCAGTAAAGATGAACCTCCTACCCCGCTTCCTTTACCTATTCCAAACCCTCCCCATCCCACTCCCCACAACAGACGCAAAATATGTCCAAAAACTAATAGACAACTTTATCTGGGCAAATAAAAGACCCAGAATAAAAAGGAGCACCATGTACATCCCCAATAGGACGGGAGGACTGGGACTACCCCATCTCCAAAACTACTATTACGCCGCACAACTCACACAGATCCAACACTGGCACACCCCGCAGGGGATCAAACGATGGGCGGACCTGGAACATGACCTATTTGGACGCGACCACCCATCCCTCTACATATGGGTACCAAAGAAATCACGCCCCCTACCACCACCACTGCCCCCAGCAATCACGAACTCAATAGACTTGTGGGATAAAACGTCCCGGAAATTCCCCATCATAAACAACCCGACACCATTGACGCCAATACTACGCAATAGAGCATTCCCCCCAGGGTTAACACCCAAAGACTTTGCACACTACGAGCAAAACGACCTGTCTAGACTGCACCACTTCTACACGGGAACGCAAATTACCCCATACAACGACCTTCCCAACACGCAGGCAACATATACCACTCACGATTTCTTTCGCTACATACAACTACGAAGCTTCTTAGAGCAACCCGACAATGCCAAAGCAGCCACCACCACGCTCACACGGTTTGAGAGGTCATGCCTACATAACCCACTCCACAAAGGTCAAATCACGGAAAACTACACACTTCTTATCACCAACCAACCCAAGGGGGCCTCGGCATATGTGGCGGCTTGGGAGAGGGACTTAGGGCCACCGGACGACCCCACGGACTGGCAAGATATCTGGGAGGCAACGGCCTCAATATCCATATGCGTTAACCATAAGGAGCAAGCGTATAAAACACTGCTCCGATGGTACCTAACCCCGGTACGTTTGTACCATATGGGCAAAGCAGACGCGGACCTATGCTGGAAAAACTGCGGGCAGAGAGGCACATACATACACACATGGTGGCATTGCCCTAAACTGGTCCCATTGTGGGCGGAAGTAGCTACCCTAGTCTCAACACTCCTCCAGACCACCATACCATTAGACCCCTGGACCTGGCTCCTCTCCAGACCACGAGAGGACCTGACCAGAGCCCAAAACAAAATGACAAACCGGATAGCCTTAGCGACTAGACGGGCAATAGCCGAAGTATGGGGATCGCCAAACACCCCCACACTGCAAACGATCATACGCAAAACCAAGGAAGCAATACACATGGATAGGCTATCAGCCATAATTCATGAGACCTCTAAACACTTCCACAGAATCTGGGACCCCTGGTTATCCGATCCCCACCTACAATAAGGGCACACGGACAGCCTCCACCTCACCCACCAGGCCCGCTACTCCAACATAGCGATCAAAATACCAACGCACGGAAACTCACAGTACAAATATTACCCCAACCCGAACCATTGGATGTCTACTGGGCTCCCGAAATAGTGTCCCACCATGGTACTCTCACCCTTGTACATAGGTTCTCCACCCCCCCCCCAACTGACTACCCAGACGCAGGGGCGCCCATTAGTACGCAACGAGGACGATAAAAATAGTCAATAGGGGGCATCCCACCCTACCACAAAACTGTTAACGAGACGAGCCGCAAATCTCATACGGCCACCAATACAGACTGGTCCAAACGAATTGGGCAAAGGGAATAAGTCCAAAACAGAAATCCCTGAACCCCGCACTATTGCACGATAAACGCCTAACCAACGGACCGCACCAAGACACAACTACTTGTTCGCAACACCCTAAGGCGCAAAGACAAGTAAAATATTATGCTCCTGTATCATTGTGGCTGTATCACCCCCTCCCTCTTTCATTTCTGTACCCTAATGTTTTCTTTTTCCACACCGGAAAACAATAAATAATGTTTAAAAACAAAAGAAAATGAACCAGTTATTCACTAAATTTAGAACTGCCTAGAAATTGCACATTTTAAGCCAATATGTCCAAAGTGGGATGTGAGCAGAGTTAAATAACTTCACCCTTTATGTGCATTTCCTTGCAAATCATTTAATTTGTGCCCAGAACTAGCTGGAGTTTTGTATGGGTAGTCGTACCTCACATTGCCCCTCTGGCTGCATAGAAGATCTGAGCTCATAATAATATAACAAGTGCACATTACAAGCAGAAGAAAAACGTTTGCTATATATTTACAATTAAATGGGTGGCTGGGTTGTCAAAGCTGTACTCATGCTATGGGGTTGTGCATGAAAATTGCTGAGAATTCAAAGTGAATTTAAAAATAAGGTCAACATTGCTGAACTCTAAAAATTATGCAACTCCGCTTTCCTTTCATATCTGCTACTCTGGCCTTAAATTTTAAATCTCACCTGGTATGTGTTATCCAAATGATACAGTAATGGAAAAAGTTAATCTGCTCTCACAATTTTTTTCCTTCAATCCTGCACCTGTATTTAAAACATTACACACTAGATGGCAGCATTATACTACACTGCAAAATCCACTTCTCTTGCCTGAATCATTATGCCTGTATCTGCATAATACATCACTTTGAGAAGAATTGTCCAAGTAACAGATGACATAACCATAGAAATTATGTCATTGGATTTGTTGTTAGGTTTGGTCAAAGCAAACTCAAGGGCCTTCATGACCTAGTTATTGAGCAGGAGGGAGTTTGTACCCTAGCTTACACCTTTACCCCATGAGCTGAAGGTGAGTTGTTCAATAGGAACAGTGGGGAGTCCCATTAATGAGAAGAATGATTCCTACATCTACTTTATATATCCTTCACCCAATAAGCAGAGAATGATCAGTTGATAGTTATATATATAATTTATATAATAGTGTGAAAAAGGTATGCAATTGCTTAGAATATTTGGAAATTTGTTCCAAGGCTTTGTGACACAGAGGGCACTGTTGCGATTTAACTATTTGGACCTCATTTGGGGTGCCTACATCAGGGTGACCAGATCCACCATCATGTTTTCTGGGACACATATCGTGTATGCATAATAATGGACAGCACATGAAAAGGTTAGCCCTGTAGTAAGTAGAATTCAGAAGGTGTATAGGATTAAGTAATGAGGTAATGAAGAATCCTGCAGAATGCGCATTATACATACGGCAGGGCAACCCTTTTGGATGCATTTACATAAATATGACAGAATTATGTGTGTCCCTGTAAACATGGTGGATCTGGTCACCCTGGCCTACATGGTATATGGAGGTCACTGCTTGATTAGTATGACTGGCAGTGCAGGAAAAAAAAATGGCACTTCAAGCTCAATTGCATTTTTGAGTAGAGGACGGTTATCTTTTGGTAGCCCACCCACTTCCCACCGGCGCTCCTGCAGGAGTGTGAGCATCTGTTGACTCTTTAATGAGGGTCACTGTAAGTGGTATAGCAGCGGTCGATTTAAGCACGAATGTTCCAATTGTAAGGGAGCAAACCCGACAGTGCATTGTTTCAAGTTGGATAAGTCCCTCCCAAGAACTTCGTCCAAAAACGATGTTCCTCAGAGCGAGGCCCCAATGAAGGCAGAAAGGC